TTGTCTTGCCAACATAATTCGTAAAGAGTATATAGGTTAAATATATTGTATTTGTAGCCGACTAAAGAAATCTTATGACATAGCTATATACTGTTTTTTTTTGGGACTACTCTTATGCTGTTGGCCGTAGCTGGCCTTTACAGCTTTACCCGACGTTAGGGGGCGAGTGCAGATGGCACTTCAAACCCGCGGAAGGACTTATGGAGCGGCTGAAGGCCAACTCCCGCCTGATACAACTTTAGTCTGAGGGCACCGCTAAGGGTTCGAACCTTGGCTCTGGCCGTCGTAACATCGGTTCCCGTTTGTATTGGACGGGGGATCGTTCGGAGGGGAGGGCTATATATTGTGTAAATAATGTACTATATATATTCTTATAAATTTATGAGTGGTTAATAGGTACCTGAGCGAAGCTGGTATACCAAATCATTATTTTCTTGATATTGATTCTACAGCATATTTACCTCTAGTAAAATCTATATAATATATAGAATAAAATGACAAATAAAAATTACATAAAACAACTGTCCGGATTCTTATGAATATAGCCCTCAAATGTTTGCACCGTATCGTACCCACGATCATCGGAAGTAAAGCTGTGTGCTAAACTTTTAGACTACTGAGGTCGTGAATATATCTGCTTGTTATATAAAACAGCTGACTTAGATATTCGCCTACTACAATGGACTATAAAACTGGTAAATACCACGATAATGTTATCATTGCCAATGGAAATGATAAAGTCTCTAATAATCTCAAGCATCCATTAAGATTACAGTTATCATATAGAGACGTTACTATGCGTTTTTAACCGACTTGAAAAAGGAGTAATTTCTTTAGTGTGTTTAATTGTACCATATTTTTTTGGTATTAATATTTTTCTATTCTATGATTGGGTAGAAATAATATTTACTTCGAATAGACTACTTTTTTATCTCTACTTTCTAAATTAAAAAGAAAGGATAATTTAACTGTATATATATACATTTCACACAGCGCCCACTAATTCCAAGCTAAGCAGAACTTGAGTTATAGGTACGTACAAGACTACTAAAAATACCTTTTTATTTGTATTTACAATTATTTATATTAAGTATTTATTAACATACAAACAGGAAAAATACAAGACCGATTCAAATAATCATACTCATGAATACAAATGTTTGTACTGTTCGGAGAATCGAACCCGTGACCATTCGAACTACGGCGGTGTACTAAACTACTAAACTATCGAGACCATCGAAAATATCATTACCTACTCAAAATATTTACACTATACGATGTGAAATAAATAAATATTATTTATTAATTTTTTTGCATTCTATAATGTCACAATAAACGTTCACAAAATATTATCACAGATAAGACAGTAATATTACAATATTACAAGAGCACTGTGGACCCTGATGGGCGCAGCATTTTTTGATGGCTTCAGCATACGTTAATAATTTTGTAGAATATTTGTTTGTTCTATGTGTATATACTGGTGTGTGCGATATACATTCTCCGTCGTACTCATGTCGCAGTCGTGTCGTAGTCGCGTCGTGCCGTATAAATATTATACCTTTATAAAAACATATCATTAATATCGTATTATAAACAGTTTCATATAAACATTCAGTCATTATACGCTTATAATGGTGCTACTGATGGTTATCTGAACATGGATTTGGCAGGACCACAGTACAGTGTTATGGTGTGTGTAAATACTGTAATATGCGCTGGTACAGTCTTAAACATAATCGAAAGATTTAAATTAAGAACCCCTGTCCAACACTCTTATTTAGTACTCATATATAGTGTATATGACAGAGCTAATATATATAAAATATACATGTTTATAACGTCTGGATTTCTTAAGAACTGTCTGAGGTATAGCAATAATTTTATATTAAGTGAAACTGAAGTCGCTGATGGTAAAAGACATATATTTAAAAAATGTAACAATAATAGAACAAAGGAAAAAAGGTAATGAAAAGAGGTTGTGTTATTGATAATAGACAACTTATATACATATATAAGTTATTTTTTTGTAAATAGGTACACATTATACATAGATAACATGCAGACCAATAGAAACAACTGTAACTTATGTTGAGTACTTTTTTCATTCACAAACAAAATCATAATATCTAAGTATTATGGTTGTGACTGTACTTCTTTAAGTTCCAACCACCGAATTAATTTCAAATTTTATTTGCCGCCATTTCCAAACGCCTGTCTTTCAGTCTAGAAGTTTCGATATTTAAAAGTGTTTATTAATAGAATTTCGTGTATTTAAATTTGAATTTAGAATTGTCTTTTTCTTTTGGTTCTGGGGATTTGCCATTCCCGCCATGAAAACTTTCCCCTGTGTGTATTCAGTAAAAAAAAGATAAATTGTGAGATCATTATACTTTCTTTTTTTTACATTTTTCTTTTCAGCCATTTGTTTTTTTCTGTCTTGTTATATTCAGTTCAATTCAAATAGTTATTCCACTGTAATAAAGTATTAATAAATGAAGAAATAAATAAAAAGAATAAAATATTAAATTTTTGACACAGTATACTGTGAAGAAAACTAGTTAATTTTTTGAAGCTAAGTTTATATTTTTAAATATTATTTTTTGCTACGTGGGCAAAATTGTAGATATTCTCTATCTACGGCAAACGTACAACATTAGCATTTTGAGCATCGTAATGACGTCACAAAGGCAATAAACAAAAGATTTCACAGCTGTGTTTTAACATGCGTTCAGAAATGTGAAATATTATTAAAAGTACATAATTATTCTAAAATAGGCGTGAAGAAAAAAATGTTGCTTGCGATAGGTTATGTTCAGAGGATATTTTGCATAACAATAAATAATTGTAACAATGCAAAATGGAAGACATCGAGTTAGAAACTACTTCAATGACAGAGTAAGTTTCTTAACACATTCATAGATGAGTAATTAAGTATTTTTTACTTTATCTTTATTAGTCTTTTTAATAAAGGCTATCTTTATGATAGCCGTATAATCAAAAAGTCTTTATTCTTAAATAATTAGACATATTTTCATTTTAACTTCTCATATATGATCGCGGTAATCTTCAAAACTAGGGAACGGTTTTTATGCAGTTTTTATTATCAACAGAGTTATTTTTGATTGTACAAATTAATTGATTTAATAACCGTCCAAAGTTGGGACGCGTCGCTAGTATCACAGATAACATAATATTACATACTAGTATGTAACATTATGAGATATGTTTAGTGAAAGAATTTGATAGAATTTCATAAATCGATGCAGTATATAGTTCGTGAGTTTACTTTTCTCATAACAAATATTATTAAGAGAGAGTTAGAGACGAGAGTCGATAATAGTTTTTTTTATGGATTCTCATACATGGAAAAATGAGATTTCATGGTCATTACAAACTGTTATTTGACCTTTGAAAATATTAACTAGTATTATTAGGTAGCTTATATTATTTGCCTTATTTTATATTTATTTGGTCCGATTCGCACGGTGCAATCATTTGTATTCATGAGTATGATTGTTTGTATCGGTCTGGGTGTTTTTATATATATTATGTATGTTTTATCAGGTGTCTAGTACCCATAAAACGAGCTGTAGGCTGAGTTTGGGTTGGTTTGGGTGCTAAATGCTATTGTGGTGATTGTCCACGATTATTTATTTATTTATACCATTAATTCGACAATTTATCAATTGTGTAAATCAATATGAAAACATAAATTATCTATAACTACACCATGCAGGATAATAGTCAAGATATTTATTATTATTTTATATTCTACAAAGCTATTTCAAGAATATGACAGTATTTTGTCACTGTTTTATGTACATGTTTCTGCCGTGAAACAGTGGTGTGCGTTGCTACGTTTTATCAGGAGGATAAAACTGCCAGCGTAATATCTAAATACACGACAGGTGTCAAGGTTGACACAGTATAATTAATATGTATAAGGCGACAGTTACCTATTTATTTTATTTATATTTAGTTAGTACTAAAACGTAGTAATCGCGTGGATGGCTCTATCCAATAGAGAAAAAAATATCAAACCGAACTGCAATAAGTTCTGAACAGGTATAACCTTTTTAATAAACTCATATTGCCATTAAATATTAAATTATGAGTAAAAAAGTAAGTCTTGAATTTGAATATAGAATGTCACTTTCTGTATGCAGTCTCGCATCACTTGGAATGAAAAAAATATTGTATGAAACTGTGATAGCAGTCTTTCAGTAGGTATGATAAGATATTTGCAAGAAATTATATGCATAAATTTATTTTGAAGGTTTTTTCAAACCGCCCATATCGTTTATAAGAAAATATCTTTTGTGTGACAACACGAGCTGTTTATTTTAAAAATCATTTCAGGTTGTAAAACATAGATTCAATTTGGATTAATTCTTATAGTTTAAAAAGGTTTTGTTTTTAAGGTGTCAACTCATGATATGATATGGTAGGTCGAACTGATATATCAGACATGAGTATTCTCCTCACAAAACAACATATTGCTCGATTTCGCTATTAATCTTGTCATTTGCCAATATTTTTGGATCAAACAGATCGATTGTCAATCAAATCGTACTGACATTTACAACGGTTGTCTATTTATTATTGATAGCTATGAGTTGATATGCTTGATCGATGGAAAAACGACTTGTTTTGATAAATAGTTTATTTTAGCAATCTAATATTAAGTAACTTACAATATAACTTAGAAATATACATTTTTCTTATTAAAAACGGCGGTCGATTGAGTAGTGTTGTACCATTGGCACTAACAACAATGCATAATTGTTAGTGATACTGGCACTTTGGGTTGGCACTTCTAAACCTAACTTTGGGATATTTTATAATCTTCCACGACATCATATTACAGAGATAAGACTGGCCATCAAGCATAAACAAGCAGAAATCATTTATCGAAAAAAATACAATCGTTTGATTCTACATTTAATACAAACTGCCTACTTTGTGACATATCTTTTTAATTTCTATTTTAAATCTAGCAATCGTGTTAATTTGACAGTCACAAAAAAATCTTGTGCGGCGTATGTCGTATGAATACGACTCAATTTAATTATAAAACAGACGATGCACCGTAACTAGTTGTTTAAATTTTAAATCATGAACAAACTGGTGAACAGTGTGAAGAAGTGGACTGGCGCCTCCAGGAAAGCGAGTCCTGAGCTATCAAGAAGCCAGTACTCGTTGGTGTCATGTGCTGAACTTGCCTCGGGACAGTTGTGGCTCAGTTTGCCAGAGGAAGTCAAACACGATCCGGCTTTTGCCTCGCTGAAGCAACTGTACGAGAAGGAACATGGTGAGTTTCGTTCTCTTTTTCTTCCAAACTACTACTTGGTGGATTTGTTTATGTAGATTGAACAGCACCACTGAAATTAGGTTATCATGTTACGCTCCGATGGCACTTCATATGCATTCTGTTTTAATTACATGCTATCATGGTATCGTACCTTCTTACCTTGTACTTCCAATTGCCATATCTCTACCATCAAACTGAAGTGCAGTTTACAAATAAAACGGTTGAAATAGGTTTGTCAGAGGTAGGACTTTGTATGAAGTCTACACGGTTAAATTATTGTGAGATTTCTGAAATCACTAACAAAGTCGTCCGCGTCATCTGTCCTACTTCATTACGTCTCCAGCAGTTTCCTTTGCAAGTTACTATTGTATTTAAAATGTGTGATAAACCAGATAAATTCCAAGTTACGGATGCATAACGTCGTCCTCAAAAATGTAGCATAATTTCATAATATATGCTATTCATTCATTCATCATTTAAGAGCTACTTCTACGGTCCTGTCGGTGGAGCTCTTGCCACTTTCAGCGATGTTCCATCATGCTCTTTAAATGTTGATACGTCACGACGATGTTCATAATCTTTATTTATGCTCTTTATTTCTTCCAAGAAAACTTTCAATATTGGGGTACTTTTTCCCAGGGGTTAGCTAAGAGCGCCCTAAATTTCTTCCTAGATAAGGACTCGTGTGAGCTAATTTCTCAATGTGTGCCTGTCGACTTCACCGCTACTCTGATAGTGCCCCTGATTTTATTGTCGTGTATAGTTTAAAACTCTCCTATTATATTTTAGAGAATATCTATATTAATTTTATTTTCTACTGTTGGTGCATCTCCCTAAACGTTTTTACTGAAATCGGTATCGATTTTTCATTGTATCGCGGCCTCCACCACTACTTCGATATAGCCCTTAATTTTAGTGTCATATGCAGTTTAGAGCTCTTATATTATATTTTAAATAATGTCTATATAAATTATATTTTGTACTGTTGATCTATTTCACTAATGTTTACACGTGATAAAGTTATTAGTAAACATCTCAGCTCAGTTTTCGAGAAATCAATCCCTTATCTCTTAAGAGGAAGAGTAGTGTAGTTATAACACATATTTATGTAATTAAATCATCTTATACCCAATTCTCAAGAATTTTTAAACTAAGCTGCCGTGCTGTTTACCACTGCCCACCTGTTGGTAAATGGTAAACAGCGCCAATATTCATGGACATCACGTTATCACGTTACAGAGGCCTAAGATGTCATATCCTTAATCCTAGAATTACAGAGATGACAAACAATATTAATCCGGGAAACGGCGATAGATCGGCCCACTCCTATTGTCATATTTACTTTTTAATAATGCCAAATTCGATCCTCGCACTATACTATCATTTGTATTTATGAATTTATCTGTATATGTGTAGTTTATATACATAGTATAAAACAAAGACGCCGCTGTCTGTTCGTTTATATATTTTATATTAAGATACGGATATTAATGCAGTTTTCAGCAATAGATTGAGTGATTCAAGAGGAAGGTTTATATGTATAATACATGCATGTGCAAATAAAGCTGGTAATATGTATATCAGTTATCTAATATCGAGTACCCATGGTATATATATATACATAACAGTACATACAATGTAATACAACATATACATAATACAAGTGTATATAGCTCTAATTATCGTAACTTTTTTGACTGGACAGCCTTGTGTGAAGTTTTAATTTTTTTATTCTGAAGCCCATATAACTTTCTTCCGTATTCATGCTCATACCGGTTCAATAGTACCATGACATTGCACTGTCACTGAGCATAAATGCATACGTGTGCCAAATTCCGGTTTCATCCAACGCAACGTCAACGAGCGGTTAAATTATATATACTGAATTACTTACAAATATTGCGAGTTATATTGAATACAACTTACAGCTTACAAGGAGATCCCGACCCCGGCTTAAGGAAATATATAAATAAGAATATGTGATTGTTGATATGTAAAACTATGTAAAACATCTTGGTTAATGAAATAGATTTATTAATATTATTATTATTATACAAAAAGTTTATAAATAATGAAAGTTTAGAATAAAATTTTATTGTTTATTCTGTACAATTTAGTTTTTGACTTTTGAACTTTTGATATAAGTTGACCTTTTTGGTTTTTGGTTATATTTATATTTGGTTATATTTATATATACATAGAAATAAAAATCGATATGAATGTAGATATTTATTTTCAAATAGATTTTTTGTAATGTTTTAAGTACTTTTAGAAATATTTTTGAAAGTATGAGTAGTTTTTTTGGAAATTAATCAAACATTATTCAAATTTCTGGTGTGTAAACGTTTATAGACACAGAGAGGCACGGTGGCATATGTTACATACGGTTAGATAATTCAACACTAAGGTGATAATAAAAATTAGAACTTTGTACAAACTATAAAAAAATCGTGAGAAAAAGAAGTGTTACTTCCTATAATTAATTAAATGAGTGCAAAAAAAGTCGCTATACTCTCAGATAACATTGACGTCGAACGACTAACCAAAAATTTTAAATGTATACCATTAAATTATACCTTATCATTATATGCGGAGGGTACACTTTGCAGTGCTGTGCATTTTGACTGCGTTCCAATTGGACGAACGTAGGATCTATTTCGAGCCGGTTAAATCCGGTTCAGGCGACATACAGACATTATACGTAGACTGTATTATGCGTAGTAAAATGTAAATAGAAGATAAGCTGCAAACATTTGTGCGTCTGTTACTTTATATCCGGCTATTAACAACTTAATCTATGATTAAATGCTAGTATGCGGGACCTTGTTTGTACTCGACATTTCTATAGTTGATACAAACAATAAACAAGTTTAATCTTAAAGTTGTAGAGTTAAACCTTACAACAGATGCAACTTAGTTCAATGGAGCCAAAATACATTTTATATAAGCTCGCTAGTTCGCTATCCTTTTTAAATAAATTTTGCACAATTACGTAGTAGGCACTTCCTGGTGTATACAAAAGAACTGCTGTCCAGACAAAACAAAAGAACTGAGGAACTAAAAACTAATAAACGTCAAGAATTAAGAAATTCAACAAAATTAAATCAATAATTAAGAAACCCCTCTGAATTCGTAATTGATGCTAATAAAGAGTTCTAATTCCAAACAAAGTACACTACTTATCAGCTCAGCTATCAGCAAACAATTGTCGTGATGAAAACCACATACCTATCTACTTGAGCATAATTGCCAAACTGAGGAGGAAACACTACGAGACATCCTATGTAGTTGTAGCCCACTCATGCATAAATTATCTATATCCTTAAATTCTTGTCCCTGACAGGTCTAGTTTTTCTAGTAGCGAACTCTGAAAAACGGCGAGCACAATAGATCTATGTAGGTCGCAAAAAAATAGTGCCATACCTGTCAGTCAGTCTGTCAGGTTTAACGCAGAGGTCGTGATTATTTTGTCATTAAAATGACAAATTTGTTCGGGCAATATTATTGCTACGTATATAAAACTAAGAAATTACTTGGATAAAATAAACAGAAACCTACTTAAAATAAGTAGGTATGACTTAAAATAAAAACAAGCACAAGTAAACAATTTTTCTTATCTTAGAAAGTAGGTCTCCAATATTAGTAACAAAATCTAAACTAATGAACAAAAATATTCATATACAAAAATAAACATTTATATGAACAGAAAATATTTTTTCTATTCTTTTCGAAAATTTGTTTATTTTCGTAGAAGATATTAACAGAAATACACTTAAAATATAGAATCTCATACAAATTGTACTGTATAAGTTTCGGTAGATGGGTTATGTTATACCTATCGCAATAAGCCAAAGATAGTATTTGTAGAAACTAGAGCATTATCGCCAAGAAGTAGGCAACAAAAAACTGAAAATTGGTATTCTTCCGTTGCCTTGTATGTATATACTTGATATCTGCACGTTTGTGAAACAACATCCAAACTTGTTTAGCACACATGATCAGATAAAAGACTGTCTCAGATCACAGAGAAGAAATAAAATATTGGTACCAAAGAGCAATTTGACGCTTTACCAAAGGAATGTATCATTTATGGCACAAAAAATCTTTAATAAATTACCACCGGACTTGAGAAAAATGCCCCTAAATAAATTAAAAAATCGATTATATTACTGGTTGCTGGACAAGTGTTTTTATGACATCAAAGAATATTTATCTGATGATTGTTGACTTTTTTTTTTTTTTATTACTATATAATTAGAATGGTACATAAGACATTAATTTTAAATTATAATATTATAAATTATTCCATTTTAATATACCCAAAATTTGCATGCCCGTAAATTGGGGCAATTAAACAGTTGCCAATAATATTATTACCTGGACATATTATAATATCTAACTGTATAATACGCAAATAAATAAATTTCAAATTCAAATTTCAAATTTCAAATTTCAAATTTAAAATTTCATGAATATTAAATTGACCAGAGGCGAACTTTGTACTTAGTTGTCTGTGTACACTTCTGTATCGTACATTTTAGCCCCAAAATAGCGTCTTTCAAAGCTGTTTCTTGGTTAGAGGGTTAGCTACGATAGTGAAATGACCGGATATGCGGGGATGACATGATTTAGTCCTACGAAATAGATAAGGAGTACTATGGGCGTCATATCTAATGGATATATATTCTTTTGTTTAATTTGCTACCATTCAGCATACGTGAGACCACAAATATTCATTGCGGAAACCTGACCACGCTACTGGAAATATTACGACTTCTCTGTTGGTGATCAAATTCCGACCGTTATTAAATGTACACCCATATTGGGACACGTGTTTCGCCTCTGCACAAGGCTTCAGGTATTGCATAGAATTCGCATATAGCTTGGAAGCCTAGTGTTGACGATAGACTATTGTGACGCACTAATGAAAACATAATACTAACGATAGCGGAATTAAACAAAATAATATAAATCCATTGAGTAATGAAATGAACTTCCGCAAAATAACATCTAATTCGATAAAATTTATAACAAATATTGTGTTAATTCTCTAGACAAGAAACAGACAGAATCAAACAGCGACTTTATCGTAAACTATTTAAAGAAGTATAGTTGGCATCCATCGAAATTTGGCAATGCTATTCTCGGGAATCTTACATATGTACTTGCGTTATGTTGTTTAGTGACTTTGATATTTCTTCCGAGCGTTAAAGAATACCAGTTCCTCTTCCATATTCGTCTTTCCTCTTCTATAGGAATAATTTATTATAGAACGGCGATCTTACCGTCTCTAATGGTGATGAGGGGAATAAGTGCAAATGATGATTTTAACCATTCTGCCCCATAAAATTTATTAGAAAATTACCGGGGAATTTACCCCGGTTTTAGAAATTGGTTAATATTACCCATTACTATAATATCCTGCTCAATCAGTTTTACGATTTTTTGCGGATATTAATAGAACAGTGCCTGCACTTGCACTAACAGTATACTATGGCGTCTCTCCAGTGAAGGATGATAGGATGAAGTCAGGTTAGTTAGCCCATCGTAATGAATTCGATAGGAAATCAGTACGATGGTTTGCATGGTAAATCGCCCCAAATTTTCCGGTTAGGATAATCTTAAATTAAACAGTCATTGAACCGTATAGCACGACAGTATAAATAGAAAACAAATTTTAATGTAGTGCAAGGTTAAGATTATCGGTAAACAAAAACTGATTTAATAATAGCCTACGATTCCACTAAGTGTACGCATGGTACGGCTGTGTTTTAATTTAACTGAATTTTATCAACCAATTTTATTTAATTAAGATTTTTGACCTATTAGTTCTATTTTTTTTGATGATTATGGTGAAGTATGACAAGATGAGTATGAGGTCAGATCAGTTGGCCCATCGTGAGAAATCCACCAGGATGTTATCGCGATAGTTTCCGGGGGGAACCGCGTGGAGGTCAACCTGACTTGGTACATTGCTAGTAATGGGGTTATTAATCTACATTACTAACAATCCCCTACCCCTCAGAGCCACTTATGAGGAATACATTAATATTTTTCGATAATAAATCTTATATATAAAATTCTGGTGTCACAATGTTAGTTACCTTACTCCTCCCAAACGGCTTGATCGATTTTTATGAAATGTTATATGCATATTCAGTAGATCTGAGAATTAGTTACTATTTTTCATATCCCTAAGTGATAAGAGTTGTCCACCCCTAACATTATTTTTTTATTTTTGTGCAACTTTTTTATTTTACTTTTATTACGTGTCATTAAAAAATAAATACATCCCTAAATTTTCATCCTTCTCTATTTTTTTATTTTATTTTCTTTTCTTTTCTTTAATTTTTTATAGCGTTATTAATTTATAGGGCAAAACAAGGTTTGCCAGGACACCTAGTATATTAATATGCTTTTAGCCCGATTTGGTCAAGTATTTTTAGTGTTTAATCAGTACAAAGATATATGCCTCGGTGGTCTAGCAGTTTAGCACTACTTCGTATGGTCTCGGGTTCTCTTTCTTACAAAACCTACTGGATAGATCCGAAAGAAATTTGTTACATAGGTAAAGTATACTCTGAAATAATATATAGATTATCTTTTAGAAGAATTCACGGGTGCAACATTGAGATAAGGTTATTATAGTATACTAGCTGTGCCCGCGGTTGCACCTGCGTTAAATTTAGTTATATAAATTTTGAATAAAAAATATAGCCTATATGTTATTCTGATGCATAAGCTATATTACTGTAAAGTTTCACCAAAATCCGTTCTTTAGTTTTTGCGTGAAAGAGTAACAAACATTCATACTTACATACTTTCGCGTTTATAATATTACATATATATATGAAGATTTGAAAAACCTGTTTTTTGTATATGTGTTATTTCGGTTACCACGCTATTTTTGTTTGGTGTCCATATATTTCGTAAAATTTTCCATAGTACTAATGACGATTGTCGACGAAATTATGCTAAATTATGTAATCATTATTATCATTATTCATGTCAATGGCAAAATTGATCAATTTGTATAATACGGCGTACCTTTTAAAGTTGACGCTGACCAAGGGCAGGTTATGTCAAGGTAAATTTAGATTGAGTGGTTTTAGTGCTAAGTAATTTTTACAAAAATGTATTTTATTACTTAAAAAGGGAAAATAAACTTGTAATAAAAACAAAAAAAAACAAACAAAAAATATCATTTTCACGGAGTACCTTAAATATCACCAAAAACACTAACTCGCAGCGCTCTTGCTATGCGTCGAGATTTTCGATACAAACGATCCCAGCGCTTTTGCGCCGCGCCGTGTAGCATTCTAACAGTTAAAGAGTCAAAATATTTTCTATCAAAACAACTTAATTACTATATATACTATATTGTCTATTATTCTATGTACTACTATATACTTTTACTATGTATATCAATATCAAATCTGTAGTCAATGATAGGAGACTTATTTTAATTAAACTAAACTAAAATAAAATAAACTAAATTGTCTGATTACTTGTTGTACAGACAAACAATATATTTATTTAATAACACCTACTAGTATTATCTTTCTATTTTCTTTAAAAGAAATACGAGAAAAACCTTTATTATTTTAGGTTCAGGTAAATCGGTATTGGTAAAGATATAATAATTATAAAAAAAAAAACATAATGGCCAGATATTAATTTTAACCACCAAAACAAAGATCAAAATCAGACATGTTGTTAAAATCAGTCTCACTTACTTTAAAAACGAAAAATACAAAGATAACATATTTTTTTATTACAGGCAAAGAAGCAGTCGCACTGACTGGCAAAAACGCAACGCGCGCCAAGAGGCTGCCGTTTGTAAACTCAGCACCGCATCTCAACAACAATCCGCACATCATAGCTGAAGATGTGGTGTTCAATGGAGTGGACGGCATCAACCTACCTAACATTGGGAAAGATGACCAAATGTATGTACCGCTGGATTGTAGTATTACTATGTTTCAGCGCATCTATACTTATTATATACTAGTTGTACCCGCGACTTCGTCCGCGTGGAATTATACTTCATTTTTCTACAATAAAGTAATGTTTCTAAAATAAAAGTAGCCTAAATTACTCCCTATTTCATCAGCTACCTGCCAAAAATCTACTAGCTAGCTGCCTCCCGTTAAAATCGGTTCAGCCGTTTCAGAGATTAGCCGGAACAAACAGACCGACAGACAGACAGACAAAAATTTTAAAAAGTGGTGTTTTGGTGTAATTTCCGTAGTTATATTCATATGCATGCAGTAAAAAACGATTATTTCAATATTACACACAGACACTCCAATTTTATTTATATGTATAGATGTATAGACTAGCTGTCCCGGGAAACGTTGTTTTGCCATATAAGTTTTAATACTAATATCGCTATTAAAAAATAGGGGTTGGTGGTTGATTTTTAGGTTGTATATATTTTTAATGCCACATTATAAAAGTATAACAAAAATAATTTTGTCAAAAAAAAAATATATCACTTAGGGGTATGAAAAATAGATAAGTAGCCGATTCTTAGACCTACTGAATACGTATATGAAATTTCGTAAGAATCGATCAAGCAGTTTTTAGGTGGAGTGTGATAACTAACATTGTGACATGAGAATTTTATATATAAGTATACAAATATAAATTTGTTTTTTAACCGCAGCATATATTTGTTTAAACATAGCCATATCCTATTTTCACTAGACATCTATCATTCATATACTCATAGGACAACTGCGGTGGTTTATTAAACCGATTTACATCCAATGGCTGCGGGTTGGATTCCTCGAATGGTTCAAACATTTGTATTCATGAGTATGATTGTTTGTATCGGTCTGGGTGTTTTCTATACACATATAATATGGATATATTAACAAAAGAATATGTATGTATTTCTATTTGTTGTCTAGTACCCATAACACAAGCTCTGCTTAACGTTGGCGCTGTGTGAAATGTCGTAATATATTATTATTATGTTTGGGAAACCACTCTGCCACCAAAATGTCAGGGAACACATAGGGGGACCCAGTGCGTCCGGCGCACCTGCATGGCTCTGCGGAAGATATCCTCGCCAGCTGTGTGGGGACACACCCCCACAGTAGGGTTTCACAGCAGGTTCAACACAGTAGGCCTCCAGTTCCAATCTATTTCAATTCACAACACAACGCGCGCGCGCGCCAAGGCCGCTGCACGGTCCGTTTGTTACTAGTTAAGGGAGGGGCACGAAAGGCGCGGGAACAGAAAACTAACGGACTCTAATATAATAATCTGTGCTTACGATGTTACAGGGTAGATTTTGAACACATTACTATATTTTTTTTACGCTGAATTGATATGAGATTACAAAAATGTAATAACTTCATCAATAAACAATATTATCCCTATTTATTTTTGTTTTACAGACTCAATAACACTGCAGACCACAAGAGACCGTCGAGGGTAAATATAATATTTTCTTCCATTTTATTCCATAAACAAAAGAAACTGTTACTCCTGACAATATTTAAATGGACTCGACGCACTGTGGCGACTCTAATTCTAGACGGGGTAGCATTGCTCTTATTTAGTTCTTAACCAGTTGGTTGTATATTTAATATTTTCTTTATTTGAGTATTTAATTGCATTACCACTGGTTGGTAGTTTGTATTCACACACTTCAACTTAAAAATGTAAAGTAAAACAAATTTATTTAAAAGAGCAACAAGTTTGTAAGTTTGTTGCTTATTCTTCAGGCTTCAGTCAGCTTTCTAAATAAGCGGTAGATTGAAAAAAAAACTTGTGATAACTTAAAGTGTAAGTTTACTTCTAAACTTCTATATAAGTTTACTTGAATAAATGATTTTCTATTCTATTCTATTCTATTCTCAACTGTCGGGCTCATGTGTAAAGGCAACAACGTAACACTTGACTTGCTCATTTACCGATTGGTATATTTGAATCCATTTTGGCACGGGACGAGACCGATGCCATTTTCGGTCGCTTTATCACCGGAGAGTTGATTCAGAATTGTAAATCGACACCCTTTATATTATTAGCCAACGATTAAAACGAACTCGTTTGATATAAGATGCGATAGTACACCGCAAATCAGCTCACGATGGTATAAAGTCATTCTATTTAAAGTCACTTGAGTAAAATAATGAACCACTTGTGGCTATGGTAGTCACTAAAAGTATTTTCGAACTAGCATTTATCTCTGACAGTGGTTGGAAATGGTAATTTTTTTTTTATTTATATATTCACTAGCTGACCCTGAACATTGTTTTGCCATATAAATTAAAATCGCTATTAAAAAATAGGGGGTTGATGGTAGAAGCGTGAAAATTTAGGGTTGTGTTTATTTTTTAATGCTACATTATAAAAAAAATGTCCAAAAGATAAAAATAAAATAATTTGACGTCATCACAGGCAACGATTGCTGTTTTCCACCAAATGGATCGTCGGCTTGTTTGTTCTTGTACTTATATAAAAACCCTCTTTTGCCACCAGATTGCACAAGCACGTCACTACACGAAGATGGTATTACTACTGGCCTGTTGGGTATTCTTCACAATCGTATTCCTTTTGTACAACGAGAAAGAAGAAGTTGTGAAAAATACAGCTGTTATGCCGGACGAACTCAAAAGTAAGACACTAAAGTTATCCTAGGCAATACCGAGGAATACTATGGGTCTAAAAGAAAGATCTGATTAATATGTACTTACAATGATATTATACTATATTATGTCTATACAAATACACCTATATATTAGTATACTAGCTAGTCGCCCCGGCTTCGCACGAATGTACATGTATTATATATATAAAACCTCCTCTTGAATCAGTCTATCTTTTAAAAAAACCGATTCAAAATCCGTTGCGTAGTTTTAAAGATTTAAGCATACATAGGGACGGATAAACAGTGACAGTGACTTTGTCTTATGTAATGGTACACTTTTTATTCTACTTATTATACTATTTGTATAATAAGGTACTACTACGTTTGGAGAGTTAGAAATATAAATTGACATAAAAAACAAGTTTTTGTAGTATCGGTTAGATTTGAACTCACGACCTCTTACTTTTAAACCACTAAGTCACAACGCTCTCTAGTCATCACTTAAACTTGAGTAATACACTTATGATTTCAGGTTACATATTACGGATATCAGATGATAAACTGAAAATACTCGTTTCGCTCTCTGGACCATTCTTGTCAGAACAAGCCGAGAGAAGGTTGAATTCCTCACAGTATGATGACGCCAGTAAGATGGAGGTGTGGCTCGAGAGATGGTACCTGAAGGGAGATGCTGGTGACTACATTACAGCTGCCGATGTGGATTTCAAAGAGGTAAGTACAACTGCTAAGATTCTGTAAGATAAAAATAATAATAATAATCTCAGGACAATTCACACAGAGCCATCTAGACCCAAGTTAAGCTAGCTAGAGCTTGTGTTATGGGTACTAGATAACTGATCTGATACATATACATAGATATTTTTTTTTTCTAAAAACAATCATACTGATGAATACAAATGTTTGTGCCGTGCGAGGAATCGAATTCGCGACCATCGGTCGTAAAGCGGTGTGCTTGACCGCTAGACCACCGAGGTCGTCAATGATGTTTATTTTTTATTTATTTAAACTCTTTATTGCACTAAATAAAGAAATTACATAAACTGATACAAAAGGCGGTGTTATCGCTAAGCAATCTCTTCCAGACTACCAGTAGAGAAAGTAGCATTAAAGATAAGTAATCGATAGGTGGTGCACGTAATGGACGTAAATATATATTTATGTTCATTACGTATAGAGTTAAAATGTATAACAACATTTTAACTCTATACGTAATGAACATCCCTCTTCTGGGATAAGTCCGCCATTGTACGCATGTTTTCTTTTTTTCTAAGTCAATTGTGTCCTTTTATTTATAATATTATTGTACAATAAAGTATTACAAACAAACAAACAAACAAATCAGATTTTTTTTTAAATCGTTTGTCTGTTATAAAAATATGTATTATAATTATTATTTTACCTATAGTCTATATATTATATGTTGTAAGGAAAAAAGACATTTTCTATATATTTTATCGAATTAAGTATTATTTTGGTGAAATCCATTTCGTGTCTGCAGCTGTCCCGGCAAATGTTGTTTTGCCTTAAAATAAAAATAAATTTAGGGGTGGACTACACTTAACATTTAGGGGGATGAAAAATAGATGTTGGCCGATTCTCAGACCTACTCAATACGCTCACAAAATTTCATGAGAATCGGTCAAGCCGTGTCCGAGGAGTATGGGAACGAAAACTGTGACACGAGAATTTTATATATAAGAATATTATTTTGTATAATTCCTATGTGAGACCACAAATATTAGAAACCTGACTACCGCTACTGGAAGCGTCATGATCTTCTCTATAAGTGATTCCTATCGTTATTGAATCTACAGACTATGGTTGCAGTGACTAATTATACATGTGCTATTTCATATATTTTTACGACTTTTCTTCGCTGTATGTTACAAATGAAGTATATTCTGTCTGTGCTTTATTCATTGCATGATGATGCCTCATTTATAAAACACGTGTCGCAACATGGGTGTAGATCCGATAACGGTCGGAATTTGATCACAAATAGGTCATAACGCTTCCAGTAGCGGTGGTCAGGACTAATTTGTTGTTTCACACACGCTAATGATAGCGGAATTAAACAATATCATATAAATATATTAAGTAATGAAATGGATGGTCAGAAATAAAAACCAATTCGTAAAATATATCAATCCAATGTCAATTAATTTGTTGTATGTACCGATGTAATCATGATATTAGTACAGGTGTTCTATTGTGTTCCATTTATGTATTTATATCGTAAATTCATTAGTCATTTATTTATTGTATGTATACATTCACAATGTTGGTAAAATGACTTTGGAAAAGAATGAATGCGACCGTACAGCTATGTATACCTCAGCTGTTTAATACACCATCTTACCTTCAGTTGATGGAGATTTGATTCACGTTCAATCAATATATTCGTATGAATACATGAGTATGATTGATTGTATCGGTCTGGGTGTTTTCTTTGTATATTACAAAAAATGAATTTAAGTATTTATACTTTGTGTACAATAAAAACATCTAAGTATTTATATCAGTTGTCTAGTACCACAAGCTCTGCTAAACTTTGAACTAGATGACGCTGTGACAGTTGTCCTTAGTTATAATTATTATTTAATGAAATGATTCTTTCCTTAATTCGTCTCGTAATACATATCACGATTGTAGCCGATTTCAAGAGGCAACCAACATATTTGTATAAATTTACATAGTATAAAACCGCTACTGTCTATTCGCTTATATCTTTTAAATTACCCAAAGGATTTTCATGCAGTTTTAATCTCGGCTTTCTTAGCTTAGGACTAGATGGCGCCATATGAATTTCCTTTGTTAAGGAAAAATTTGTTTTGTTCAGGACCAGACAAAGCTGTATGATATTATATATCCTGGGTTATTTTTATATTTAATTATTAATATAGAGAAAGTAGAGCACAGACTTTTGTTTGTTTACAATTCAAATATATATTTTTGTTACAGGAAATTGTCCCATGGAAAATAGTATTACAAAATGACGTAGATTTCAACCAAGGAGAACCCAGGCAGTCTGTGCTTAGACTAACAACAAACGTCAGCAATACAAACTCTTCCACTGTGTACGCAATACAAATGAAATCCACAGCGAATCAAACCATTCCGTTTACGATAAGCTACACTATTAACCCACTGGATATAACTACCGGCGTTATATATGCGTGTGTGCTGCTCTGTGGCTTGTATGTGTTGATTATATTCGAGGTCAGTATACTTAGATACACTTATATTGTTTTAATTCCATCCAGGTGTTTAAGTACACTTAATGGAAATGAGTGATTGAGTTATAAGGCTTCAAATATAAAGTTGGATGACAACTGTGTTCTGTTATATTCTTTCTAATTAAGAATTTACCTGAAAAGAAAAGGACGTAACACTTATTTGTTATGTCTTATATATCTTTATTCTATTCTTACAAGACTTAGAATTTGTACAGACGTCTAAGGAGATATCTTGGTTTCTACTATTTCTGCTGCTAAGGACATTTCTTTGTAAGCTATGTTCCAATATGGTAGTGAAATTACATTAAAGGGAGGCATAAATCTTTAGTCCTTAAGAATGGCAACGCAAAGCTTCACATTATGACTAGACAGTGCTATCCATAAACGTGACTGTTGCAATTTGCATAAGGTGGTCCAACTTGTTTGGCATCCTACAAGAACCAAAGAAGAAAGGTTAGGTAGAAAATAATAAGATTCATGATAATACAAAGTTGCCACTTAATAGTAATAATAACCTTAGTAAATATAACCTTTTCGCCTTGAAGGGTGCAGAAATATTTCTTTCTTTTCTTTGTGTAATATACACATTCAAAACTAACAAAACAACAGACTTCCAAACAGGTTTACAACCCTCGTTATACTCTATAAAAGGATGAAGCCCCACTTTTCCTTCATCACCTGTGGATAAATAATGCACTGTGTAAGTTAGGTTTTTACTGTTACCGTTTTTGTTTAGCAATAATGAGATAGTTATTTGTGACTAATTTCTTAGTACATGAATTTAATGACGATGAATATTTTGCATGTTTAATCATCTCGCCTAGCCTAGTGTGAGGGTAGATACATTGTACACTAGTTTATGTTTTCTGATAAATACATTTATTTTTATCATCATCATCATCGCCGAAAGCTCACTACAGTTCACTACTAGATGAAGTCTCTCCCAAGGCACGTTACTAGGCCCCATATTCATCCCGTCGCTTCCAGTTGTTACCTATACAATACAAAGAAATAAATATTCACAGATTATTAACAGGACAATGGCGGCGATACTAGTGTCAACTACTGCGTTGGCAACGTTAGCATTAGCCGGAGAACGGCCGTCACTTCCTGAGGTGGTATCCTGGCTTGATATGGAGACACTGCTGTTGCTCTTCAGCATGATGCTGCTGGTGGCTATTATGGCAGAAACTGGGATGTTTGACTTCTTAGCAGTATATACTTTCGAGGTAATTGAATTTCAGGCTACGGTAACTTTATCTTATTAGATAGCCCGTATGCTCGACTGTGGCCACTGTGGTGTAAAAAAAATTATCGTATTATAAACAAAGTTACTGATCAGCTAATAGGACTTAGACAAAAAATGTAAGATTTTTCTTTAAATAAAACTACCGACGCAGTTTTATCTATTGTATACATATTTTGTAAATATATATAGAAAGCACCCATACCAATAAACAATACTACTCATGAATATAAATAATATCGTGCGAGAATATAACCCTGGACAATCGGAAGTAAGGCGATGTACTAAGCTGATACGCCATTTAATTTCTTCCATGTTATAAATATAAATAAATGGAGTTTGGTTATCAGTACATTAATAAAAGGCACTGACCTAATAACAAAGATCATTACCACTACTCGTACTCGTATGTTAGCAAGTACTCAGACACTTCTACTTGATGATAAATTCTTTCAAATTCACTGTTTCACTACAAAAAGCTTATTAAAATATTTATATATAAGATATAAAGTGTTTATATGAGTTTTGTATTCGAAAGTAATATCTATTTTAACTAATAAAATAAACAAAACAATGACCCAAATAAAACAAAAATATTTAATAATTTAATCCTAAAGCTAAAGAAATAATTTAATTTCGTTCTATCTTCAAAAATGCCGAATTTACATAAAAACTTTCATCTCTATTTTATTTTACCTTTTATAAGGGTAAAATTTTTACAAATTTTGAATGTCATATTTAATCAACAGCCCATACAATAAGTTTCAAACTTCTAGCTTTAAATATGACGATACTTCCGTAAAATCATTCGAGATGAATGGTTTTAAAATACTTACAACCCTTTTTTAGCATTTAAAATTAGTCTTTTTCGGCTTTAAAAATGACGATACTTCTATACAACGTTTCATCTCCCATTTCTACCCCTTACCCTTTTTTCTCATTAAAAAGTACCTTATGTACTTTCTCACGGTTTAGACTAGAAAGTCTAAACTTGGTACACAGATGTGTACGAAATGTGTACCAAATTTAATTTGAATCGGTTTAGTAGTTTTGGCGTGAAAGCGAGACAGACTTTATTAGTAAGGATTAAGGAAGTAAGGTTATATGTATACACATACGCGATGTGTACAATATGGATACTTGATCAGTTGCTGTTATCGAGTACTGTTATTTAGATAATAATATACTCATTTCTTACTCATTTGTTTGTTTATTATCAACTTTACATATTATGACGTACTCCCTTAAGAATACTGAGAAGAACTAATATGTGTGTATAATTGTTTATGTGAAACATGAATTAATAATATTTACCCCACAGGTCACAAAAGGCAAGCTGTGGCCTCTAATCACTCTGCTGAACATCATCACAGCTGGCCTCTCGACATTCTTGGATAACGTCACAACAGTTTTACTGATGACGCCTGTAACAATCAGGTATGAATACAGTGACCACATGTAAAGTGTTTAGATGGGACGGTCCTACTTTCAGGTTGTATGTTCCGCTTTAAACAGGCACAAAAATGTTACATTTTTACCAGCAGTATTTGTCCAATCTAGTCCCAAGCTAAGCAGAGCTTCTATTATGGGTACTAGATAACGAATAGAAATACCTACATTTTTTTGTTAATACATAAATATTATACCTACATAAAACACCCAGACCGATACAAACTATCGTACACATGAAAATAAATGTTTGTGTCGTGTGTGGAATGAACACGCGACCAACGGAAATACGGCGGTGTGCTAAACCGCTAGACCACCGAGGCTTTCAAACCTACGTTATTCGTATAGTCATAATTTACTAGTACGCAAGCATCCAATTCTGACAATAAAGCTCAACTCGTATTAACGCAGAGTCGAAGTGTCATTTTAAACTAGCATAAATAAACAAAAATTGCATCCCCTCGCTTCGGATTTGCGTCAATGTGAGTAGAGTCTAAAAATAAACGGTCACGTTGTATATGAACGTAATTATGATATTAACTGTTTATCAACATTTACCGAGACATTAAAGCCATTATTATATTCTTGTAATCATTAGAAGTGGTAGACGCGACGGTTAGATATTAATCAAACAGATTATAAAGACTGATAGAATCTTATATATATAGATTACGATACGTTACATTTTACTTATCAAATAAAAAACATAATAATATTATCTATCGTAAAATAATAATCAATAATTTGTTACATAACACACGACTTATTTTAGTATTATTACTTAATGTAATTATATTTTTTTGTTTAATTCTGTTACCATTAGCATGTGAGACCTCAAATATTTAGTGTGGAAACCTGACCGCTACTGGAAGCGTTATGACCATCCCTGTTAGTGATTATAAACGAGAAATCATCAGGCAATAAATAGAGTTTAGTTATATGTAGTTAGTGTTATGATAGTTCAGATATAGATAGTGGGGCATCCATTAATTTCGATTGTATAATGATAAACTAGTAACGTCCACAAAAGAAATTGTCAATATTTTTGAAAATTTTTTCGCTAATATTCCAACTGATATTACTTCCTCTTTGGACTCTTCTCCTAGTACAGCTAAATCATTCCTTATTGACAATGTTGTTTCTTGTCCGGTTACATTTAAATTTACATTTATTGACATTGCTACAATTACTAAAACATTTAAACAATTAAATTTAAAAAATACTGAAGACCATTGGGGCATGTCTGTTAAAGTTATTAACACCGCTATAGATGTTATTGCTCCATATTTAGTAATTATTTTTAATAAATGTATTTCTGATGGTGTTTTTCCCAATTTAATGAAACATAGCAAAATAACTCCACTCTTTAAGTCAGGAGAAAAAACTGTGGTAGGTAATTATAGGCCTATATCTATCTTACCAGTATTGAGTAAAGTGTTTGAAAAAATTATGCTCAATCAAATGCTGCAACACTTTAAAGTAAATAAACTGCTTCACAGTCGACAATTTGGTTTCACGGCCGGTAAATCAACTACTGATGCCGGTGTAGCTCTCATTAAATATATATTTGATTCTTGGGAGAGGTCTCAGGATGCAGTCGGTGTATTTTGTGATCTTTCAAAAGCATTTGATTGCGTTGAACATGAAACACTTTTGCTCAAACTTGAACATTACGGTATTAGATATGAAGCACAAAGCATGATGAAATCCTATCTAAATAATAGAATGCAAGTTGTCGAAATAAATGGTGTAAAGTCTGAGGGAACTAGTATTAAAATGGGTGTTCCTCAGGGCTCTATTTTAGGTCCTTTCTTATTTTTAGTTTACATAAATGATCTTCCTTATATGGTAGAAAAGATAGCTGACATAGTTCTGTTTGCTGATGATACTTCATTAGTATTCAAAGTCAATCGACATATTGATGATTTGGACGAAGTAAACGGTGCTCTTTCTTATGTTTTAAAATGGTTTACGGCTAATAATATGTTACTAAATGCAAATAAAACTAAATGTATCAAATTTACTCTCCCCAATGTAAGCCCGGTAGATTCAAAAATCACGTTGGACAATAAACCTATTAATTTTGTGGATGATACTGTATTTCTAGGTATCACATTAGATTCCAAGTTGCAATGGGGTGCTCATATTACTAAATTAGCGAGTCGACTTAGTTCTGTCGCTTATGCGGTAAGAAGAATTAGACAATTAACAGACGTGGCAACGGCTAAACTTGTGTACTTTAGCTATTTCCATAGCATTATGTCGTATGGTATTTTGTTATGGGGCAAAGCAGCTGATATAAATACAATTTTTATTTTACAAAAGAGGGCCATTCGCTCCATTTATAGCATGGGTTCCAGGGAGTCTTTGCGAGAGTGCTTTAAGGAATCAAATATCCTCACCGTTGCTTCTCAATATATTTATGAAAATATCATGTATGCCAGGAAGAATATAGACAGTTTTAAAAGAGTTAGTGATTGCACTAATAAAAGCTTACGTAACAATAACAAACTGATTTTACCTAAATGTCGTTTGGCTAAAGTTAGTAATTCGTTTTATGGCAATTGCCTAAGGTTTTACAATAAAATACCAGAGTCTGTTATAAATCTGCCAGAAAAAAGATTTAAATGTCAAATAAAACACTACCTTTGCAAAAAAGCTTACTATAAAATTGAAGAATTCGTTAACGATAATAATGTTTTTGTAGAAAAATTTTAAATACATAGCACTGACAATATTATCTGATTACACTAATAATGAGTGCGTAGCGATTTCTATGTTGATTGTCGCATGCCTCTTACTTGTTACACTGTAATTATTTATATAAAAAAAAAAACATCTATTAAAAAGAGCAACATCCAAGTTTCTTGCTCATTCTTCTTGTGATGAATCTGCATTCCGAATGAGTGGTAGAATCAAAATATGACTATTCAAAAGTGCTTGTAATGAGTTTATTTGAATAAAGATTAGTTCTATTTCTATTTCTCTTTCTATTTCGGCAACCGAATATTTGCGGATCTCACACATGCCAATAGTGGCGGAATTAAATAAAATAATATAAAAACAGTAAGTATTGAAATTTATTTTCGCCAATTAACACGTACCTTATTGTTATACCATTGTTTTTTCAATGTACTCTAATATTGTTTGCCGTTGGTACTCATTGACTTATATTTTAGGTACCAGTTGAGTATAATGATAGTAACACTATCATTATACTCAACTGGTATCTAAAATATAAGTTTATACTTAGTTTAGGTGCCAAGGAATGATGTATAATGTGAAAATTGGAAGATATAAAATCTATTTAATTATCTCAATAATATTTGAAAATTTGGTAGACTGTGTTACCTATTTCAGCAGCTTGCTTGGCCTACGAACTACTTTTGAAGGATGAAATAATAGTATATTATTATATGAATCCGTTATGACGGTTATAATACACGAGGCGGTATTTCAGAGTGATAGATAGAATAGACACAACGGTGTTAAATACGTACGAGACGTTCAACACATTGGATCTTAAATAAACTCAACCATAAAACTGTAGGTTTACTGCCGTTTTATTTACTTCACTGCGCCAGCCTAGCCGAAGTAAAGCGGTCAGTTGAAATTTGATAAAAAAAATAGCAAATAGAGCGGTTATGGAATATAACTTTATAGCATATATAACGCACGCGTGTTTTATTAGCAACTTTATATTATGAAAACTGAAATTAGATCTATTTTACGAGCAAGTGTGTTGAATAATAAAAATTTTCAGGTTATGTGAAGTAATGGATCTGGACCCCGTGCCTATACTTATGTCTATGGTGATATATAGTAACATAGGTGGCACGATGACTCCAGTTGGGGATCCGCCTAACGTGATTATTGCCTCTAATAAAGCTGTAATTCAATCGGTGAGTAATTTTTATTATACTTATATATGTATATAGTTATATTGAATATCTAGTATATAAAATCTCGTATCATAGTGTTAGTAACAAAACTCAGTCACTCATCAGAAACGGCTTGACCGATGATTATTATATTTTGTGTATATATCCAGTAGGGGGTAGTGTTAGTAGAACAGGACGTAAATTATTTTTCGGACTCCTAAGTGATAAGGGTGGACCACTCGAAAAAATGTTTTTAACTATGATTCCGCATTGAAAATTATATATAGGTATATTACTAGCTATTTACCGCAAATATATATGATTTTTTGAGTTAATACAGTCTGTACTCTATGTATATGTATATATAGAGTCTATACTCTAAATATTCGCGTTTCAAATTTCATTAAGCCTTAAAAAGGTAAAAATCAGACCGACTTAGTTTCATATTTATAATTACAGATAATGATTTAATATTACTAACCGTTTAATTTGTTTTCAGGGAATTAACTTTACAAACTTCACGCTTCACATGTCGTTGGGCATACTACTGGTATACATACAAACATACTTACAGATTAGATTTATATATCGGGACACAAACAAGCTCAGATTGAAAGTACCACGAGAAATTCAAGGTATGCACAAAAATATTTCTTATATATTGGGAATTGAAAGCAGACGGCTGACGGTTGGTAAGTGGGAACCGTCGCGTCGTCTATAGACGTGAAGCATCGTGCCATTTCATGTTGCCATTGGACATCCACGATACTCCTCATGCATTGCTTTTGTAAATATTACGTTGGAATAAAAGAAATACTATTCAAGTGTGTTATAGTTGAATATATACGTGAATAGCATTTTTTAATGGAATGTCAGCCGTCAGCGCACATGGTGCTACCATGTGCGCTGACGGTTTACGCTGGCGGGGCACTAGTGCTGGTCAATCTGCCAAGGTACGTTGCTAGCAATAGGGTTTTTAGCACATTACTAACAATCCAACAATCCCCTATTCCCCTACTACTAGACTAAGTACTACAATGCATGATATAATAATATTACTAAGAATCCATATCTCATTTTTTCAGATCTTCGCCAGCAGATATCTATATGGCGCAGAGCAGCCGATTCCTTGCCACATTTAAGCAAAGATGAACAAGTCGTCAAAGAAAGACTGGAAAGAAAGATTCGGAAACTAAACAATCAGTTGGAGGTTCTGGAGAAGGAAAGCAGAAAGAGAGCATGTCCTAAGAGTACATTCGAGAATACTCTGAAAGAAATGAAGGATAAGGTATGTTGGAACAGTTCTTCTTCTTTCTCAGTTCTTAATAAAATGTTACTGTAATATATTACTGGGATTGTTAGTAAAGTAGATTGATTGCTCATTGCCCATTGCTAGCAATATATCGCAGGCAGATCTCCAAGCTGTTCCACCTGGTAAGCGTCGTGATAAATTCCTAGTGAATTTGCTACGATGGGCTAACTGATCTAACATTGAGCTCATTTTATCATCCTCCACTAATGCTACGTCAGCATAAATTATGGACCATTCTATTATAAAAAAATATGAAATAAAATACATGAATGGTGGGGGAAGTGAATTATTAGTAATGTGGACTAATAACTATGTATATTGCTCACAAAGTACCATATCAGATCGACTTCCACCCGGTTCCCCCTGGAAATAATTGTAATAAATTCCTGATGAATTTGCCACGATGGGCTACCTGATCTGACCTCATCCTCATATTATCATCCTTTACTAGTGCCTTGACATGTATTTTTTAATGGATGATAGTGGACTGGTGCACCCGCTTGCGTTACCGTTTATGTTGGCGGGACACCAGTGGACGATAATGAGATAAGTATAAAGTCTTAGTGAGGTCAGTCAGTCTCTTAAGTCTTTTTGAACTTTGTTGCATATTAAAGTAACTAATTTCAAAAACCATAATGTCAATAAACATGACGCATTTTTAACAAAAATACAATGCGAAATAAACTTTATAGTTTAAACCTTAAAATTAAGTTTCCATAATTCGATTTTCGAGTTAATGAAGTTTATTACTTACCAGCGATAACTTCAATTTGTGATACTAATGTTTTTATTACAGTACAAGATCCGTGATAAGGTGCTGCTACTAAAATCAACTGTGGCCATTACTTTCGTCGTTATAGTGTTCTTCTTGCATTCAATACCTGAATTGAGTAAGTATCATTCCACAACTGAGGAAATAAATACTAGGTTATAATAAAACTTACCTTAGAAAAGCAAATTTTAATTACTTTGTTGATTAATTTTAATAAAATAACCATTAACTATTAGTAACTGAATGATGAATCTCCCCATTAAATCAAACGGGGATAAAAATTACGACGGCCTGAGCCAAGGTTTGAATCCCTAGGGATTGATACCCCTTGATACCTGCCCTCAGACTAATGTCGAATAAGTATTCAAGAATATACATATATATATATATGTATTTGTAGATCGCATATCCCTGGGTTGGACTGCGCTACTGGGAGCTATATTGTTGCTGACACTGGCTGATCGTGAGGATTTGGAACCTATCCTGCATAGAGTCGAGTGGTCTACGTTGCTATTTTTTGCGGCACTCTTCGTATTGATGGAGGTCTGTTGTATTGTTTAATTTATGTACACATTTTAAGCATGATACAGAAGCACATCTGTAAAAATAAATGGGAGCATAGCAGTGGAAGATAATGAGAGTACAGTCAGATAAGTAAATTTATTGTGAGAAGGAATTAATGAATACGTATAGTTTTCTAAGACTCCACATTGTACTCACAAATAAAAAAACTTGGATGGAAAATGGACGAATTTACCACGATGGACATCGACTATTCATCCATTAAAAAAATCTGTCCCCACTACTAAGAACACTGTTCTCCTACAAATCGGAGTAACTATTCTTTTTCAATTAAAAAAGGAGAACCTTTAAATATTGATTATATTCACGAAAATACTACTTACATATCATCAACCTTTTTGTGACTTATAGGACTTTGAGGGAGGATATTACATTTTAAGGGATTCGAACTTGTCTGATGAGTCAAGTTGAAATCCCTTAATCTGTATTAATGTGTTTTCTTGGATATTGGAAAAAAGTGTCAAATAGTGCGAAAATGTTACAGGCACTTTCAAAACTGGGTCTCATCGAATACATTGGTGGTCTGACGGAGGGTTTGATACTGCAGGTTGATGAAAGTGCCAGACTAGCAGTCGCTATACTCCTCATGCTCTGGGTAAGATCATTAAGATATTATATAAGTTGCAAATATTGAGTTACTTTATCTTATCATGTTTTGCCAAGAACTATAAACTTTGATGACAAAGTAATCTAAGTGGCGTTGTAATTTATATTCAGTTTTGAAGGATATGTGGTAGTGAAATTATAGACTATGTAAGCTCATATGCCTTCAGGCGGCAACATATGAGTTTTACTACAGGCGTCACGCGATGGATTGATATTTGTAGTCACTTCAGCTTATTTCCCACTAGATGACATGCGCAACATCGTTTGCATCGTACTTACTTGATATCATTATATTTCTTTCAATTTACGTAATATATTTTTAAATTATAGCCTATGCGTTACTCTGACGTACAAGCTGGTATGACTGTAAAGTTTCATCAAAGTTCGTTCAGTAGTTTTACTGTCAAAATGTAACAATTGTTTATTATACTTTCACAGTAAAACTACTGAATTCTATACTCACAAACTTTCGTGTTTATAATATTAATAAAATTCCGGTTTCATAGAAAAACCTACATTTATCGCTGGCTTTTGGTTTATCTTGTAGTTAAAATTTCTCGTATTTAATTTTTTGTGTGTTCCGCTAAAACTCCTTTGCATCTAATTTTGAATTTGAATTTTTGCAGATATCAGGTGTAACCTCGGCATTCGTGGATAATATTCCTTTAACGACAATGATGGTTCGTGTAGTGACGTCATTAGGATCCAATCCTAATCTCGGATTGCCGATTGCACCACTAGTCTGGGCGCTGTCATTTGGGGCATGTTTAGGAGGTAAGGGACTAAATTTTTTTTTAGATAAAAGTGGTAATTTTGTTCATTTACTTTTTTTAGATAAGTGGTAATTTTGTTCTTTTACACCTACAGATTGAAGTTAGTGCCAAAAATCTTAGTGTTTCAATGTACTTGTCACTAGAGACGGCAGTAGGTAGTTAGGACGAGATAGTCGAGTTGTTGAGATGCGAATATACTCAACACAATTAGTACAACAGCATTTAACATGCTCGGACTTCGGTCATTACGACATCGACAGAGAAACAACGAAACTATGGCAAAGAACACGATATATACCGTTTTTTTATTAATTGACATAATGTACCTACCTATATAATTAAGCTGATTTATTTGAAGTTTATTACTTATTAATTAATAAATAAAATAGAAGGAGCAACGAATTTTCAGTTATCCACAGACGGGAAAAGACCACACTACATTACTGACCTGATTATTCCAGTCGCGATTACGGTTATGAAAATCATTTTATATATTTCATATATAAATATACTATAGTATATATATATTTATTATACTATAGTGTATATATTTGTTGTGTTACAGGTAACGGCACTCTGATTGGCGCAAGTGCAAACGTCGTGTGCGCTGGTGTAGCTGAACAGTACGGTTATAGATTCACATTCATGCAATTCTTCAAGATCGGTTTCCCCATCATGATTGGTCATCTTGTGGTTGCATCTGGGTATCTTCTGCTCTGTCACTGTGTATTTACTTGGCACTGACTGCGTACAGGTCATTTTACTGTAATAGACCTTGCACTTACTCAATCACTCCACAATCCGTAGATGAGAAATTAAGTATATTCTGTGAGAATATTTCAGACGTAACGTGTGAGAATACGTATTACAAATATTCTCACTAATTTGTTAACATGACGTCTGCAGACAAGGAAGTTCCCGAATTATACTTTACTTTCATCTCACATAATTTACTACACCATACCTTTACAGTCCACTGTAAGGGATCAGGTATCTCCCCATAACGGTTCCCAATAGTATAGTGCGCTTTGGTCCCTAATAGTTTTTGGGATATCCTGGGACTATAACAAGTAGTGAGGTGACAGATTTATACCTAATTTTTACACGGAGAGTTTAACTGTACTAATTAATCTTATCTTTATATTAATTATCGGTATATGATTGAAGCAATTATTGGACAGTTGATTTCTATTGAAAATTAATACCGTAGCTTTGTATAAGTAGCTATAAAACTTTTGATTAGGATTGAAATCTATTTTGTAATTACCTAATTAACTTATAGATAGGTTGTTGTCTTATTTAATTTTTGTATTAGCAGTTAGATGAGATAAATTATTGTCATGAAAATATAATTATTTGTTAGGATTATAATGTCTGTAAAGACATCACTTTCAATATGTATACGATAGCCTACTAATATTTTACTTTTTACGCTTAGTGAAGTATTTTTAGTGATATAGCATTGAACTATCGATATTTATTGCATATTTAAATTCTGCATTGAAATTATATTTATTAATAAGTTAAAAATATATCTTAGGCATTTTGTAGCCTATTATAAATTTCTTAGAGGTCACTAAACAGCCCCTAAAACAGATGAGTAGTTATAATTTTATTATAAAAATAAATTATGACTATTCTCACACACATTTATGAGAATAGTTATATAATGATATTTATTGGTACGTTTTTATACATAGGATTATTTATATTTTTTTATAAGTATCAGATTATATTCACTAATTAGAACCCAAGGCATCTGAATAATTATCACAACGTATTTACCGTACTTTAAGTTTGGACTATTGGTTCGAAGATACAGTACCTATACGAGAATATTAAAATAGAATGCAAACAATATTACCAGAGGTTTTAGTTTTAATCTGTTCCTGTGACTATCTGTGATATGTATTGTTGGGTTGTTATATTTAATAAGGATACGATGTGGACCAAAGGAGGTTTATGGTTTACCAACACGGAAAGTACTCAAAATGTGATAGTTTGCATATAAAATTACTTGAATTGTATTTTGGTGATCGTCAGCTTGGTTAGATCCCAAGAGATTTCGGATATTTAAGCAAGTTTTTGTACATATTTATTACTTAGAGTAATTAACACCTATTTGCACCCTAAAATGGAAAAATAATAACAAAAGTGGCCAGTCATTTTGTTATCTGGCTATCTTACTGATTTGTTGTTGAATTGGTTGGAGCGAGACAGAATGATTTATATTGGAAGTTTGTGATGGAGAATATATTGAGTAATATAATCAATACTAAACATTTATAGTAATATATACTATTAATACTAAATGTAATAGTATTACGATCAAAGGCATACTTAGATGTAGACTTAGTATAAATGTGTATACTAATTGGACATTCAATATGCCTATTTTTTACACAAAACCTCTGTTTCTTTTTATACAAATAGAGCATGGTTTCATGTATAATTTGAATATAGTCATAATCACTATGCGTTTATTTGTTCCTACTAAAATCGATTTAGCTACTTTAGAAGTAATCAAAATAGTATTTTTATCGTATAAATGGATAAAATAAGCATTTAACGTAATAATACGGTCATACAACAAATACCCATTGTAATGTAGGCATTTTCAAGTGTTGCTTTCTTTCAATATCAACAAATAACTATGACACTAGCCACCCCGTCTGGGATTACAGTCGCTATTATATTTTAAAATACCACTAAAGTAGAAACTAATTGTTTTGGTTCCTTTCGAGTCTTGCCAAAGACTTGTTGTATTTAAACGGCATGAAATATGTATGTACAATCTGCGCATTGAACATTGTATGAGTACGCGACAAAATGAATCGTATTATAATTAGCATAAAATAACTATTTTAAGTTCACAGAGCGCCACCTTCGCACAATAATTATATTATTTCAGTATTTTAGTCGAACAATTATAATTTAAGTTATTTACTTATTTAAGTACATCAAAGAATAATTATTATAAATTATTTTTACATGAGTTTTATTTGTTAAATATAGTATAATGTAAATTATATAAAAATGTGATATGATAAGTAATAACCAAAATTAAACAGTTACTAGACATACAGTTTAAACATGTCCGTCTACATCGGTATATCTAACTTACCTAATAACTTTCTTTACAAGCTGTATTGAGATTTGGAAATTGGTATATGGCAATAAAAAATGATAATTTTAGGGGGATTAAAATAAGTCTACAAAAGGTATAAAATATACCTGTTTCAGAAAAATGGCAAGTAGTCAATTTCAAGGTACACAAGTATAAATATACTTACTCTTCGAGTCTGGCAGCGCTTGACAGATACTATGAGCCTCACTATGTAGGTATATTACCTATATGTAATAATTTCTGATGCCCTTTCTGCTGTTTCATGTAGGTATATCAATAACAGTCATGACTTCAGGTTTGTTGCCCTGTAGGTATATAGAAAATCAGATTAATTAAGCCAACATGGCAAATTCAACATTAATTGACTATGATAATTTCGATGGGACCTCCTTGGATTTCGTAGTTAATTCTTGGTCCCCTTGAAGGGAGGCAGCGTTGAGGTCGACATGGTAAATTGATAGTAATGGGACCACTATACGCCAATGGTGACAATTCCCTCGACTCCCCTGAAAAACTTAACTTGTGTACCTAAAAGAATAATTAATATTTTCTAATGGTGTCTAACATATATTAGACAAGTGATAAATAAATTGTTTATTAATATAGTAATGCGTAGTTTTTTTTCTTGTTGTATTAAAAAATTGTACTTAGTGATAAGTATTATTTTTGTTGTATCCTTCAAATCATAGGCTTTATTTCAAGTACAATATTAAATTAATATTTGGTATGGGTTTTATTTCTCCTTATAAATAGATAACATCTCCCTGTCCTATATCTGCAATATGATTGACCAGCATAGAAAGTAGTATATCTTTCTCCATATTTTTTTTCGGACTACTCTAATGTCACTGTTACCTTTACACCTCCATGAAAATCCCAAGTACTTTACATTTATCCATTATAACACCAACCTATCTTAGTATGCGTGGAATTTAACCATTTTTTCTATAAAATAAAATTATTATATATATAACAATACATCAAATAAATTAAGGACAAAATGGTAGTCGTGTCGTATCAAGAATTGATGGAATTAAAGAACATGATGGAAGATCGCGAAGGCAAGGGCTCCACCGACATGAGCGTAGCTCTTAAATTATGAATGACTGAATAACAATATTCATTATTTGCCAGTGAAAGTCCTGTCAAAATGGGTTCAGACGTTTCAGAGATTAGTAAGAATAAATATACAGACAAAAATTCAGCCTAGATGAACCGTGTGTCAAAAATACATTACATTGTACATCATGTATGACGCCATTCCTGAAAGTAACATGTTATGTGTCTGCATGCTATATCTCCCTCTTTAAACAGAAAACAGAATTATTAAGCAATACATGGATTCAAATGGATCCATCGTGACAGGGCGTCATCCTACCGCAGTTTCACACATTCTTTTTGTTGTCAATGTTTCCATTACCGGAGACTTGGTCAAAAATAAAATTAGATACAAATTTGTGTGATGTCGGTCAGATAAGTACCAGCGATCTTTCGTAAGTCGAAGTAGAAATCACTAAGTCTCGACGAACTCCAACTTTTTAGATATGTAACGACCGATAATAGTGTATGCTCTCAGATTAGCGACTGTTTAGTGGAAATATTTTTATGTATTTTTAAACATTGTAATATTTAATTAGAGATAATATAAGCAATGGAGAGGAATGTCTAGACGAGATACTATGATGTAGCAAACAAGCGTACGGCCCATCTGATGGTGAACGGTTACCGTTTACGGTTTACGGCTTATGGACACCTGAACCAGTAGGGGTGTCATGTACGCGTTGCCGACCCTTAAGAAAACTTAATATCCTCTTGGAAAATACTACATCGAAATGTAAATTGTACCAGATAGGTAAGTCGTATGACGTATATTTTATAGATGACCAAGTCGCGGTTTGGTCGCCAAACAGCCAACACTAGGTTCCAAGCTATATCCAAACTCTATTCAAAGCCTGATGATGCCTGGTTCAGAGGCGAAACACGTATCACAATATGGGTGTAGACTCATTAGAGAAGTTCGTAACGTAGAAACTTGACTATGTCAAGTTTCTACACTGAATATTTGCGGTCTCACACATGCTAATCGATGAAATGAAATGATTTTTTTTAAATTTGTTCAATTCCGTAAGAATTGAACAAAATTATAAAAATTCACTAAGTCATAGTACGACGATCTTTGGTCATCGATACGAGAACATTTTCATCCTCATAGGTCTTGGTAGGTACCTCTATTGTGGTACCTACGGCTGGTAGATAGATACGGGAGGTAGATAGGAAGGTAGACCTTTGTGATATTGTCACTAATTTACACGTAACTTGTCATATTCTTATTCTACTAGATAAGGCAGTTGATAAATACTTAGTCATACATTACAATTTCCAAAATAATATTATGTATACATATGTATAAAAATGGGCATGTTAGTCTATTAACTTCAATGTCAAACAGGTGAAACAACAGATCTGCGACGGCAGTATTCGCGCGCATATTCGCTTATTTGGTTGTCTCTGATATTATTAATTAAAAATAAAACTACCTCTTATCCGCGAATTTGCCTGTTAGTTTTAGACTAAAAGTAGGGTATGATCGTTGGCGTGATACAATCTATATGCATGTCATATTTTGTTATATATATATATAAAATCTTTTAAGATTCGTTCAGTTTGTAAATATGAAAAATAACAAATAGATGTTATATAGGAGAATAATAATAGGACATGAACATTTTTAGAAAGACCAATATGTTTAGAAAATACATTGTTAATGAATATAATTAAGAGTTTTTGATTTTTTTGGTTTTCGTTCGTTCGCTAAATGCGTTATTTTCAGATGTTACTTGACCGATTTTAATTCGTGTTTCACATATCGCTTTATTCTAAAATCGCGTATAAATTTAAATATAGTGGATTAAATAAATAATGAAACAATGAGTGACATATGGAAAGATTTGAAAGAATGGACGGGAGAACAATCGAATCAGGAGTTGAAACGAAGCCAATATTCACTAGTGTCACGCGAAGAAGCGGCAGGAGAGACCTTAAACTTGGATCTAAGACTGCTTGAGGAGATAAATGATGAAGAGCTTGGTGAGTATATTTCATAATAACTTTTTTTTATATTATTTGATTTTAATTAACGAAGATAAGATGCTAAAAATAATTTAAAATAATGAAGAAGTCCTGCAAAGGGTTAAAGAAAAGAACTAGCTAACTATTATTCAGACTAGGCGGGGGAAAATATTGATACCATACAACGAACTTATGAATAATATTATGGAAGGAAAGTGGGAAAGGGGAAGATCAAGACATAACTATATCAAGCAGATTAAGGAAAAAGTTGGAGTCGTATCGGATCATCATCTAAAGAGAATATATATAATACCAAAATCATGGAAAATGCCAATAGATCCACTAACAAGAGCGCGGCTCTTAAATTATGTATGAATTATTGAGAAAATATCTTTTAATTTAAATTGTATGTGTATGTATTCTGTATCAGGGAATGAAAATTCAGTTCAGACTAAATGTCATCTAGAAATTATCTAATTTAAAATTTATAACAATTAATTTTGAAAACTTATATACAGATCCAAAAACGGTTTTTAAACTCTTAAAAATCTCAACATTATTATTACAGGAGACGACGAAATAAAGATAATAAATTCAGAAAAGAAACCAGGACCATCAGTAATAAAGCAAGCAGATGATTCGAGTCCATCGGAGGATGAACTAGCGGAACTCTCAAACGATACGGAAGTAACAAATGGTGAAGAAAGGAGAAAAAAAGAATCCGTGAACAGAATGTAAGTATATGGGATTGTATTTTAAAGAAGTGTAATATAAAATCGACACCGCTTTATGTTTTAGCAATATTTAGTAAATACTATATGCACAGATAAGATAATATTGTTACATCTATAAATAGTAAAATTTTAATAATTGTGTATTTTTGAGAGTTGGCCAATGTAGTTTTGAAATTATGAATTACGCGAGTATGTTTACGTCGGGTACTTTTCAAATTATTGCCTCTAATAGTATTTTTTCCTCATTTGCAAGGTACTTTATTAAAATAGACATTGCATAGGCTTGTTTAAAGTGTAAAAAATTGTGTGTATTTATTATAAACATGTATGTTTTATTATATTCAGATTTAATCGAAGCTCCAACAAGAAGCAATTAATTAAAGTAAGTACGCCACTAGTATAAATTTTAGTATTGGCTCTAGTTTAATACTATCTACATCGCAAAAGTAAGTCGAATTTAGAAAGTCTTTTTTTACAAACTGTTGAATGCAGTTTATTTTCTATTCTGAAAAATATTCCACGCCTGCAATTCAATGTACGAATACGTAAGCTATGAAAATTATATATAAATATTTTTATATGACGCTGTATCACCATATTTGTATGCAGTTTGTGAGGTATTTGTTTTGGGTATCTGAAGTTGTGTTTGGTGCTGTTTTCATTGTTTATTTTTTTATTATAACTATAAAGATATTATTGTCATAAACAATACGTGCAATTACAAATGCAAAAGTTTGTCTGTCTGTTTGTTACCTTTTCACTACTATACTGCTACATGGATCTTAATGAAGTCGATGTGGAATTAGAGTAGAATTAGAGAAAAGTGCGCGTTGAAAAACCTCATTGGTTAGTCTCGACAAACTCTTTTTCTTGCTGAGATGTGCTCACACACAGTTGATCCATCCCTTGTGAGACCTACCTCTGGCCTTATACCATCCATGGTATTTCGAACACTAAACAATTAATTTAAAAATTTCACAGATAGCGCAAGACAAGTATTATGTTAGAATTACAATCCTCCTGGTGTGTTGGACTTTCTTCACTCTAATATTTCTAATGTACGGTGAAAAACGGGATATCACCAAGAGTACTGCTATTGTTAATGGACAGGATAAAAGTACGTGTTTAAATATATTAGTTTATATTTGATTCGTATTCGTTCATAATTTAAGACCACCCTCTTATAGACGGGATCCTTGATAATTTCCACCACGTTCCGTAATTCTATTTATTTAATAAAACACGACACGAACTTTTTCCTTAATTAATTTGAACGTAATATTTAATATATTGTATACAAAATAATTGTAACATCATTTATTACACAGAATGCAAATAAAGAGAATGCAAGAAAGAGTCACATAAGACAATTTTCCTCTAAAAAGGTGACTTTTAATTCCAGATTATAGTCTACAGATAAATAACGACGATGTAGCGATTCTGTTGACGCTCTCTGGTCCATTTTTGTCGGACAACGATGAAATAAAAATGGACTCTAACCAATTGGAAACACATCACAAAATGGAAGTGTGGCTTGAAAGATCTATGTATCGAATTGAACAGAATCACTCACTTAAAGATTTTGATGTTGAGGTCAGTTGTTTTGATCGTATCGATAATTTTCCATTTTTGTATAATGTCTTTTATACCTATATATATTAAGTACATATTTATATAGCAGGCAGCCGCAGACAGCGAGCCTTGGGTAATTACTCTACAAGATGAAAAACAATTGGATTTCAACAAAGGTGTCGCCCGCACACATAAATTTCACCATAAATCAAACAATACTCATAAAAACAATACGTATTTCATACGTTTGAGATCGACATCGACTCGTACCGTACCGTTTACTATAAGTTACACGGTATCGCCACTAGATGTCTCTACTGGAGTTGTCTACGCTGTTGTGTTACTTCTTGGACTGTATGTGCTCATTGTTTTTGAGGTAACTATTTTCTTTCTACTTTGCTCTAACGATTGGTCCTTGTTTTTCCTGTCCTTGAAATTCTTGTATGAACCTCTATTGTTTTAATAACATACAACTAGTGCTACTCCTCATAATATTAAGTTACTAAGTTAAGCAATAGCAAGCTATCAGCGATTAGCTCTTGAAGAGTGATAGAATTCTTATAATGCATTAAGTATTCTTTTAGGTCATCCGTGATATAAAAAACAATAAATATTTTGTATTTGTTTGGTTTGTTTGTGTTTATTTAATATATCTAGTGTTAGTGAAAACAAAAAAATAGTAGATTGTAATTTACTCATCCTAAATTATTGACATAATAATCTACAGCAGCTTATCAGATGGTAAATGATTGTGGGTACCCATGAGCGCCTGCATGCCAATGCAAACAAATATGGTGATACAGCGTCATACTAAAGAAATCACAGGCGCAAGTTCGGACACAACTTGAGCCGAGGTTCGAACCCTTAACGGTCCCTCAGTCTGAAGTCATATCCGTCAGGTGGGAGTTGATCTTCAATCGATCCATAAATCTTTCCGCGGATTAGAAGTGCCATCTGCACTGCCCTAATTAATGAATGAACCGAATGCGGTGAAGCTGTAAAGACTATGTACGACCAACTGAAGAATTATTCTCCTTCCTTGAATGTTTAAATAACATCATTATACTCTCCTTTTCAGATAATTAATAGAACTATGGCAGCAATTATAATGGCAACTATGTCGTTAGCAGTGTTGGCCCTGGTCGGCGAGAGACCTTCGCTCCCGGAACTGATATCCTGGCTGAATGAGGAGACACTACTGTTGCTATTCAGCATGATGTTACTGGTCTCCGTAATGGCCGAAACTGGAATATTTGATTACTTGGCTGTTTATGTATTCGAGGTTGGAATTTTTTAAATAAGAAGCTTATTCGAAAAAAATTTCAATAATAATATGGCTGAACAATTCACACAGCGCCATCTAGTCCTAAGCTAAGCAGAACTTGTGTTATGAGTAACTAAACAGATGATACAAAGACTTATTACATTTACATTTTTTTTATAATATACATAGAAAACACCCTGATTAAGACTAACAATCATACTTATGAATGCAAATGTTTGTGCCATCCGCGGAATCAAACCCTTTCGGAAGCCCATCAGAAGTGAGGCAGTATGTAACACCGGTAGAATATAAACTGACGGTAGAAGACTGAGGCAGTAACAAATATAATAATTGGCGCATTTTTTTTTGCATCGAACAGATTCAAGCTAACGATCTTTGGGAACGCATATATCTCATAATTATTATAATGTTAGAATATTTTAATAATGTACAAGTGTTTTAGTAACTTCCATACCGCAGGTAACGAGGGGCAAGTTGTGGCCCCTGATATATCTCCTATGTGGCGTTACAGCACTGCTCTCAACAGTTTTAGACAACGTGGCCATAGTTCTACTCATGTCACCGGTTACCATTAGGTTTGTGATTTTATTTAATTGGAATAGAACCTTGTTCTTTCGTTTGACTATTACTTGCATAGTGATAGTTAAACGAAAGAACGAAAGAACAAGGTTAAGCAATAATAATACTAAGGCACAATGAAGCTGACGCTTACTGAAATGAGAAGTAAACTGACCGCCCAATAAAATGGCGGAGTGGTGGGCCGAGTCACTCGGGTCCTTGTAGCTTGCTCATCCGTCATACTCATAAACAAGTGATTTTAGGGACTGATCTGCTCAAATTAGTTAATCACAATGTGCACACATATTATTATAATATTATCTATAATATAAACCTTCCCATTATATCCCCTATCTATTGCTAAAAAGTGAATTAAAATCTGCCGAGTAGTTTAAAATATCTATTAAATAACCCTGGACTATTAACACAGCGTCTAGTCCCACTATAAGCAAAACTAGTATTATGGGCACTAGACAGCTGATATAAAAACTTATTTTTTTTGTCAATCTATATATAATTGCTCACAATTTAGTATAACTGTCTTTGTCTATTAATGTAATAAGTGCAATAAAGTATATATATATATAATATACATACATAGAAAACATCCAGACAGATCATATCATGTTTGCGTCGTGTGAGGAATCGAACCCGCGATCGGAAGTAAACCGACTAAACCGCCGAGGCTGTCATTTAAGCCAACAGACAGCGGCTTCTTTTTATACGATGTAAATGAATCTTTTTCTTAAGTGTACCTCGCAAATTCCAGGTTATGTGAAGTAATGGGTTTGGATCCGGTCCATATATTAATGTTCATGGCGATATACAGCAATGTAGGAGGCACGGCGACCCCAGTTGGAGATCTGACCAGTGTCATCGTGGTATCCAATAAAGATGTTATAGAAGCTGTAAGTATGAATAAATAATACTCTGCATTTATATAGTGCCATCTAGCGTGAAAGTATGCAGAGTCTGTAGTAGAGCCACACTTAAATACGTACATACATTATGTTTTTAAAAATACATGATACACTTGTAACTGATATCTGGTATATTAGACCTGGATCGATTGATTGATAACTGCTGAATATCTTTTGTATATTTATATTAGTTTTTCTACCTATATCTGTGAATTTTAATGTTTATAATATACGGAATCAAAATCTCGTTTGATAATGGAATTCAACATTGGATATATGCAAGTGGAAATTGAATAGATTGTTTTAGTCTATAAGTATACACAAAGCCGAAAGCCAGGTATTCATGAACTTTTTTAAAATATGAACTGGAAATCTTAAAATAAATAGTGAATTTTCATAATAAAATGATAAAAACTTTATGAGTCACATAATTGAATCACATTATTAAAGAATTATTAAATAAATGTTATTATTCCACAAATGATTATTTAAATGATAATAATGGATTGTATTAATAGTTTTAAATAAAATAATTTCTTAATAATGTATTGTAATAATAATTTTAAATATAAAAATGTGATAATAATGTAAATGTAATAAATATTATGGTAGATTTTACACGCCGGAAAAGGGCATGTTTGTAACTATTATAATCTTAAGACCATTATGTACACATGTTCCAGTAAATAAATTGAATTGAATTGAATTGAATCAGAATTTGCATCAATTTTGTTAGGATTTTCGGGTTCAAACATATTATATTTCACTTCAGACTTCTTATCCTGGTTAGAACTGATTCTGTATAATTTGTTTAATTACAATTAAATTTTTTTTAGGGTATATCTTTCACAAACTTCACCGCTCACATGTCACTCGGTATAGTGCTAGTGTTGATACAGACGTCACTACACATCCGATACATGTATAGAGACAACAAAAAATTACAACTGAACGTACCCAGAGATATACAAGGTATGTATATATAAGTATAAGGTGTATTATTGTAAATTTTCAGTAATTTTCATTCAGTAATTTTTGCGTGAAAGATTAACAAACATTCATCCATACTCTCAAACTTTCTCGTTTACAATATTAAGGAAGTACTTTTTATATTTCTTCAATTGCAGACATACGTCAACAGATTTCAATATGGCGGCGAGCAGCCGACTCACTTCCTCATCTCAACAGTGGAGTGCACATCGTCAGAAAGAGGCTGGAGAAGAAGATAGTAAAGTTAAATGGCAAATTAGAAGTGCTCGTACAAGAGAATAACAAAGGGTCGTACTCAAAAGAGAAGTTTTTAAGCACATTAACAGAACTAAAGGGAAATGTAAGAAATTCTTCTGATACTACTTTTATATCACTCTGTATATAAAAAAAAGATTTTTTCTTTCTTTTCTCTTATTCACTCGTGTAGCTGTTGGTGTATATATTTTACCTGTGGGCATCGTTGTTTATTGGTTTACTAGTCCAACTTGTATAGAAAGGTCATAAGTACAAACCTGAACAACATAAAGCACTTTACAATAAATTTGTTTTCTGACTGACTCTCCGGCGATGGCAACATCGATAACATACCAAATTATCCTAGAGTCGGCGCGGTAGACTTAGCCGAATTGGATTCAGACACATCAAACAAAACGTGAACGTGCCAGTATTATTATGTTTATATTTTTTATAAACTCTAAGCTTTTTTATGTTATTAGTTCAAAAAAAAAATTACAATCGTAGGAGAATAAAATCTTGAATTTCTAAATAAACTTAAAAATATTATTTTTGCAAAAGTTTAACTTTCTATAGTAACAACATTTCACCCATTTCAGCTAATCCTAAAGTAGCTTTGTAAGCTGTTCCGGTTAGAGGGAGAGATATGGCTGTGAAATTATGGAATGCGAAGGAATAAACATCTTAGTCCCCCTGTAATAGCAATGGATTGACAGAGTGAATTTTGTTTTATACAATTTAGAGATTAGGCATATGGTGATCAACTTCCACGTCAATAATGCTAAGTTTTTTCTTACTAAGTTTCTTAGCTGTTTGTCTATATATATTATAATAGTATTTAAAAGTAGAATTGATCTAAAATTCTTTGGCCTATAGAAATCTCATCATCATCAGATCATTAACAGCGAATAATATGAGGTATATTCCAGACAAGTAACGGAGAGGGATAAAGCTTGTTATCCACATGTAGACAATACTTATACGTACAGTTAGTAAACATCGCGTGATCTTACCACGTTTTATTTTTATTGAATATCCGATATTTCGGCAGTTTCAACCGCCATGATCACGGGTAAACTCTTTGAAACACTGCCGAAATATCGAGAACTTAATTATACGTATAAATAATGTCTGCGTCTAAAACAATGACGATATTGTTGGCGCTTTTGCAGTATAAAATCCGTGACAAAGTACTCCTGCTGAAAGGATCGGTGTCTATAACGTTCGTTGTCATCGCGTTCTTCATGCATTCGATTCCCGAATTTAGTAAGTGCTATTCCATTATTTCTATTTTCAAACTATGAGATGCTGTGAAATATTGTTCCTTTACTAGTAAAATTTGCATAAATTAGATGGTATAAGCATTATATTGTATAAATTAGACTTGTGGATAAACAGAACAATAATATGTGTACTTTAGTGTTGTAATACTGAATATTGTAATTGTGAGAAAACCTTTAATTGGCCTTATTTTTAAGTACATATTATTTGTATTTCGCTGTTGGTTTTCAAAATAAATAAATAAAAAAAAAATATCTTTACTTCATCATCATTAACATAAAACTAGTTTCTAACCGCCGGTTCACCGAGATTAACAGATTAGATGGGATTAAAATGAATTTTAATTTCTCCAATTCACATGGTGGTATAGTATTTTTTTAGGATTTTTCCAGTTCAATGATATTTTATAATATAATAAATACACATCACAATTATGTTGAAAGTAGAAAGTATATTTTTCTGAAGAATAATGCATAATAAAGAAGTAAAATTTTTATTATTTGTCAAAGTTTAAAAAATACTCAATGTTGTAAATCGTCTCACCTATTCATTTATTCATTCATAATTTAAGAGTCGCCTATTATAGATAAGTGTATATTATCATTAAAAAATATGAGTTCTCTAATCGCATCCAATGAGGGTGGAGCCACTAGTAATATCAATATATTTTTAGACCGCGTATCGCTGGGCTGGACAGCACTGCTCGGCGCCATCTTGCTTTTGACACTGGCAGACCGGAAGGACCTAGAACCGATTCTGCATAGAGTTGAATGGTCCACCTTGCTCTTCTTTGCAGCTATATTCGTCTTTATAGAGGCAAGTCTTTGAATGTGTATAATCTTAATTCATATAAATTTATATTTGAAAGAGATAGTATTTTTTTACTTTGTAATAAAAAAATCGAAAAACTATTTAATCTATTCATATAAACAAAATTGAAGTGTCTGTTTGTAATATTGAAATAACCGTTTTTTACTACATGCATATAAATAAAAATACGGTACATACACCCAAACAACATTTTTTGCAATTTTTGTCTGTCTGTCTGTTTGTTCCGGCTAATCTCTGAAATGGCTGGACCGATTTTAACGGGACATTTTTTGGCAGGTAGATGATGTAATAAGGAGTAACTTAGGCTACTTTTATTTTAGAAAAATATAGTTAAATTCCACGCAGACGAATTCGCGGGAACAGCTAGTTTACATAATATAAATATGATCTAAGATACTTAATCGTTCTTTTTTCAGGCTCTATCCAAACTAGGTCTGATCCTATATATCGGTAGCTTAGTCGAGCAACTGGTCTTAAGGGTGGATGAGAGCGCTCGACTTGCTGTAGCTATCTTATTAATTTTATGGGTAAGTACTGACATAAAAACGTTGTAGCTTTAATATTTAATATCCTGACTTACGGACAGTGGGTTCTAATCTGTATATAAATTAATTTATATTATGGAAATACCAAGACGTATTATTTCTGTAATCGTGTTCCGATTACAGAAATATACATTTTCCAAATCGGTTCAAAAATAAAACTGTTACAAAACTTGATTAAATAAATATTCAGTTCTTTTTTACTGACGTTGATGGTACGGTGCCTTCACCGACTTCTCAATTTCAACTATACAATAGTAATAAAGTTTGACATTTTATATAGCGCCATCTAGTCCCAAGCTTGTCAAGGCTTATGTTATGGGTACCAGACAAACATACTTTTTTTTGTAAACATACTTACTCTTATATGTACAAATATATTATGTATACACCCAGGTTAATACAATCAGTGTATTTGTAAATACATTATAAACATATGTGTATTGGTTTGGTTATATTTCTATGTACTTCTACTAGAAAAAAAAAATTGTATTGATTTCCCCTCAGGTATCAGGAATAGTCTCAGCGTGTGTGGACAACGTGCCCTTAACGACTATGATGGTAAGAGTAGTGGTTTCAATGGGTTCCAATCCTAATCTGAACCTACCTACGAGCCCATTGATATGGGCCTTACTCTACGGTGCGTGCTTGGGAGGTGAGATTATCAACAAAATTAACTATAGTGACTTTAAGCGACCCTCTACACTTCTATTTCTCTATAAATCTCTTATAAGATCTCAACTGGAATATGCGACCCCTGTTTGGAGTCCGGTATTTAGAAATAATAACAAATATATAGAGATGTTGGAGAAAGTACAAAGTAATTTTTTACAAACAATTGACTTTAAATGTTGTCACCTATCGTAGGCGTCAGGCTATCGTACACACAACTATTAGACAAATACAAAATGCTGTGTTTGGAACGTAGACGAATTTTGCTTAATACTATGACCCTGTATAAAATTTGTGCAAATACATTTGATTGTACTGAGTTAACTAATAAGCTGTGCTACGTGGTGCCAACCAGTGTGCACCGTCGTTCGGTGAGGGTACGTCGTGTATTCTTCACCCCGACCTATCGGACGTACGCTGGTGCACGAGCACCCCTTCACAATATTATTGATGTATTTAACACCTGATTTAGATATATTTGATTTGTCATACTTTAAATTTAAGAAAACCCTATTAGACATATTAGTTAGAAACCAGTAATAAATAATATAATAATAAGAGCAACATAACATAAGTATTAACCCGTGGATATCTGTATTGGTTTTACTATTATTAATTCATATCTATGTACTTAAATACATACTACATTGTGAAACTGTTTGTATCCCAAATAAAAAAAAAAATAGTCTACAAAGTCCATTGATAGCTCTCTCACTGGCTTCGGACACTAAATAGCTTGCTTTTTAAGCGGCCTTTCAAAAGACAGATAAGGTTTCTTGAGAGACTACAACATGGAGTTTTTCAAGAAGGGTATATTAAGGTTTCTTAAGAGTCGGCAACGCGCACGTGACGCCTAATCTTTCAGGCGTCCATAGACTACGGATGTTTTCCATCAGATGGGCCATATGCTTGTTTGTCAACTACGTAGTATAAAAAAAAGGTAGTGAAACTCAGGGTACGGGACTTAACATTTTACTCCTCTGCAATAGTAACGGTTCGTACTTCGGATACATGATTACATGATGACGTAATTGTGTCCATAGTATGTATGCTATTCATGTATACATATAGGCTACCGATACCTCTTATCCTCGGACTGTAAGCTTATTTGCCGTTATATACTTAAAAATATGATTATTTACTGTTTTAAGAAAGTTCTAAAATTGATTCTTCATTTTTTCCAAATGTTTAACATAAATTAGTTGTGACCATAGTAAATTTCTATTGCTTTCAATGAAATATATCTACACACTCTGTTATAATATGTAGTGGAAATTCGAACATAATAAAAATTCATAATGATCTTTGAACCAGCTATAATAATTAAACAAAAGAATATATGTGTATGCGTGCTTGTGTTAAATACTAGTGTGTATAATTTTTTTTATTGATTTAATGTATTTATAAGCTTAATTTAAAAAAAATATTACCATCCCGCACTCCTTCTCCATATAAATTCCCAGCTACTCGCTCCGGCTTCGCACGAGTGTACATGTATTATATATATAAACCATCCTCTTGAATCACTCTATCTATTAAAAACGCTTCAAAATCCGATGCGTAGTTTTAAAGATTTAAGCATACGTAGGGATCCACAGACAGCGACAGCGACTTTATTTTATATTATGTAGTGATGATAATAATAATTGTGGGAAATTTCATACTTCTCCGTTCCCACAATTTCCTAAAAAGGGGTATAATGTTTTTGCTTCACATATAAATAATATGATTTCAGGTAACGGCACCTTGCTAGGGGCAAGTGCAAACGTGGTCTGCGCAGGAGTGGCCGAGCAGCATGGCTACAAGTTCACGTTTAGCAAGTTCTTTAAAGTCGGATTCCCCGTCATGGTGGGGCATCTGATCATCGCCAGCATATACCTGCTGACGTCACACTGTCTGTTTACGTGGCATTAGGTTCTAGAACATACTACATGTTCGAGCGTTTTCGGGACACAGCCGAACAGCACTATTGGAGGGAAGGAGATTGTTAGTATTGTGGCCTAATGATTATTAGCAATGGACTATGTCAGGTGGACCTCCATGCGATTCCTCTTGTAAACCATCGTGATACATTTCTCATGAATTTGCCACGATGAGCTAACTGACCTGACCTCATTATGGAGTATTTTACTCTCAAACTTTTAAGGTAGCGATATCGACTCTGGTTGACAGAAAAAATTATTATTTATTTAAATAACTTACTCACTTATACTAAATTTAGTGCTTTATTTAATTTATATACAGTTAATAAAAATATAACTTAATATTTTTTTCGAAATTGACTAACAATTACATCTAAGTTGCTTTAAAAAATACAGTATTTATGTTTAAAATTATTAATATCAATAATTCCTCATTTGTATGTTAAGTTCTGAAGGTGAATATATTTTAAACAAATGGATATATGTATATTATATGACTAATAAAAAGTACTTACACTGTTACAGTAAACATATAATTGTTTGCTCTACAATGTAGACAAAAGAGGCAAAGTCTGTGGATACAAAACTTTTCTTTTTATAAATGAGCTACGAAACCTATGTACCTATATCGGCCGGCCTTGCTTAATTGTGATTTTTGCTTGTTATCTAAAGGTGAGCAATTGTAAAATTTTTTATTATTTAGGATTTGTTATTTTAAAAACGTATAATAGTACACCTTCTACCATCAACCCCTATTTTTAATAGCAATATTACTTTATATGGCAAAATTAGATTTGCCGTAACAGTCAGTATTTTATAAATATTAACTTCATAAACGAATACTGCTATTTATATTTTATCAGAATAGGTGGAGCGAATCGTGAGATATTACTTGACCTGTCCTTTAGATGAGGTCGTAGACTGTGAATTGCAAAGTAACTAATTAATTTTATATTTATTAAAGCAAAACTTTTCGACTGGATAAATAACGTTATGCACTGGTTAATAATATTAATTATTGATTCACAATGATTTGTTTTATCTAAGCAAATACTAGTTTTAAACAATAAACAAAATTTCTTCTACTGAAAGGTTTGTATATCGTTTTAATAAGAATTGAAAACGTGGACTTAACGGTAGGTAAATTTAAGACAAACAAATTATGGGAGATAAATATCAAAGTTAAGCAACTGATATTCATTTGTGGTACTGAATTATCCTAAAAGGTAAAATATTTAGTTCTATAAAAATTAATAAAAAAATAACAGAATATTGTTATTTCGAAATCAACGTTCTCAAAAAATATTCAAAATTACTCCATAAACAAAAACCATTAGTGTCGATCTCACAATTTGCTAATTCAAGCAATTCAAACTGTGGTGGATTGTTCAATGATAACGGTGTACCATCTCTTAGCTGTGACTTTGATTGATAAATAAAATTAATTTTCAATAAATTCCGTCTAGTTACCACGTCATACCATTTTTGAAACACAATTTTACTGCCAACAGGAATATGTTCATGTTGATCTATTAATGAATATCGTTTAAATCCCATACCTTTGAGTAAAGTAAACATATTTGCATCATGACCCATAAGTAACGTAACTTTCGGTACCTCACCTTGTCCAAGACATAAATCTGCTATGTATTTAATCAGTGGTTTTGCTATATCCATAGCAACTACAGAATTATTAAAAATTACATCATGATAACCACTACTTAATTGCATCATTTGAATCCATTGTTCCTGATTATCTAAATAACCCCAAGCAATATTGTTCATAGGAAAACCTTCATAGTATTGCATAACAAAAGCATCAGCAACAGAGTTTCCAATTTTTATTGGTCCCCAGAGATTTGGTTTTGTACCAGGTTCAACAATTATATTATTTTTATCAGTTTTCAGATTACACTGATGACTTTTTTCACAAAGTTTCGAATGTTTATAATCTAAAATATTTTCTAAAAAGTCATATGAATTGTTAAGTTTTAATGTTTTTAAATGTGCTTTCATTTCTTTGACTACATAATTCTTGAAAGAAGCAGTTTTATTGTGGATAATTGGATCAAATACAGGATCTGTGGTATTGCTGTGATGAACAGCGATATTGCAATTAGGGAATGCTTGATTCACAAAAGCCTTCGCTGAAGCTTTTGTTCTTTGCTTTAAATTAGCATAAGCATAAAAAACATCCTCAGTGGGACATCCATTTTTTAATAGATCTTCTTTTTTCAACCATTCCGAGAAAAATTCACCCATGTAACCTTCAAGTAAAGCACCTTTGGCAGTCAAATGACCACTCTTTTCCTTCCATACGGGCCAAGATTTTGGAGTCATGATATTTAAAAACTTAGACAATGGAGTTCTCACGTTATGTCTACTCAAAATTATCACTTGTTTCATATGAAATCTTTTTTCTGCATCCACAGTCATAACACTGGCACAAAACAATAAAAAATATTTCATATACATTTTTTTTTCTTTTGTTAAAGCACAAATAAACTCAAAATATTGTTCTGGACAAATGAATCACTACTAAACTTTCATTCGAGACAGATACTAACAGAAAATGAACTGACCTCTTTTGATTAAGCAATTGCGAAATCTATTTCTTGGCTGTTGACGATAAGAAACTTATTATTATAATTAACATATAGATGATTAACTCACATTATGGCAAAAATAATATAAGCATGAATACATATTAATTATTCTATGTATGTCCACTAACCTTCTGTATTTACCCAGCTAAAATAATTTAACAATGTAAGAATTGAAATAAACGGTTTAGTATTTAGATACCATCAAGTGACAAAATAACACACATGTTATTAAAAACCAAAAACAAAGGAATTATTGTCTTTATTTGTACTGTATTCACAAACCATAAGATTGAAAATTAAATATGCAAATGTCATATTCAAAATTGATTAAATCAACAGTAAGTCAACTTACGTCAAATTTGACATTTTTAATAATTCTCTATGGTCTTCCAACCAAATAACTCAAAATAAACTATCGACAGTTTTAATCACAGATACTATTACAATCTGTATCTATAAACTTAAAGCTTCGTTCAACATTTAAGAGATGGCGCTATTTCTATAATCTTAATAATAATATTATAAATGCAAAAGTTTGTGAGTATGGATGTTTGTTACTTTTCAAGCAAAAACTACTGAACGGATTTTTATTACGAACAAAACTTTACGGTTATATTACCGTAAAGTTTTGTTCGTCCGCTTATATATCAGAATAACACATAGGCTATAAATTTCCCGTAGACGAAGCCGCGGGAACAGCTAGTATAATATAATAATCTAAGCAATAAGCAATGTTTCTTCTCGTAATCTTCATTTTGGAAAGCAAGACACCCAAGACACCTATTCCTATTCCCTTCAAGAAGGCGAATACACATGACATCTTTGTGATCTTAGCCCCACTTTCAAGACCTTTTTCTTAATTTAAATCGATGTACCTAATTTACTCCCATATTTTACTTTTATTGGGGTTGTATGATGTCAAGTAATTTCCTTTGAGATAATATTTTTATTAGGTACATAATACCTAACTTTCAATATATTCTTGTCAATATATTATTAAGTATATATTATTCATTAACACTGTAATAAGTACGAGTATAATAATCTTACCTTAAAAGATAATTAAAAGAAGTATTTATTTTATAATTATTTATTGAACGATTATTATGATTTTTCTATTATTAACTGTTTCAATCAGAACTTTTAAGTATTTTCCTAAAATCTTCCCATGGACAAAATCCTTTTTTATTTATTTTGCATCCTTTAATTTCCAATATGACTGATTTCGGTGGATTTTCTGATGACAGTGGAGTACCGTGTCGTAATTGTTTAACCGTTTGATATACATAATTCACTTTGAAAAGATCACGCTTATGTTTTTCATCATACCATTTTTGAAAAACCAGTTTCCCGCCAATTGGCGTCAGTTCATACTGATTTGGCAAATTGTACGGTTTGAAACCTAAACTAGCCATAACAGAATACAAATTGGAATCATGACCAAATAGCAACGTCAATTTTGGCGCGCTGGTTTCCTCATTCAATAAAATATTCGCCATATATTGCACTAAAGGATCAGCTATGTCTTTAGATAAGATCGAACTATTAAATCTAACGTTTAGGTCTTCTCGAACAATATTAGATAACAACCTCCAATGATGTGATTCTGTCATTTTCCCCCATGCGATATTTTCTTTCGGAAAGCCCTCATAAAGGCTCATAAGAAAGAAATCTGCTATGGAATTACTGATTGATAATGGTCCATAAACATTGGGCTCTTCGTTCAGTTCGAATATAATGTCATTTTTACCGTTTACGAGATCGCACATTGATTCAGTTCTGCAGATGTCAGAATTCTTGAAATCGATTATTTCGTCGATTAATTTATATGTATCTTTAAGATTCATTTTATCCAATATGTCTTTCATTTCTCTTACACCGATTTCTTTAAATTCCTCCGTACCATTGTGTACAACGGGATGAAATAAAGGATCCATTTTGGCCGTGTCTTTATAGTGTACAGAGACATTACAATTTTTAAAGGCAGACTTGACGAATGCTTTTGCAGTTTCCTTTGTGCGTTGAGGCGTATTTGCATATACATGAAGTTCATTTTTCGCTGGACATGAGTCGCTAATTAAACCTTCTTCTTTTAGCCATTCTGCTATGTAATGCGCTATATAACCCTCGAGTAGCGCTCCTTTTGGAGTTAGATGTGTCACCTGTGTTTCCCATACAGGCCATTGTAAGTCTGTAGTTCTTTGTAAATTAGTACTCAACGGTGCACGGATATTATGCCTACTCAGTATTAAAACTTGTTTCAATTTATACCCATTACGACAGTAGACTCCCATGCAGAAGAGAAATAATAATAATAGTAATTTTGCCGCCATTTTTGTACTTTACACAATAATAATATTACGTAGTGCTAATTATATTATTATATCTAATATGTTATCAACATGATTCACAACACATGCACACAGACGTACACACAGAATTGCAGATAAAACAACACTGATTGATACGAATACAATTTCTGTAAATTCAATTTTGCTTATCTACATCGCCATGACGTAACAACCGCTTCTCAAGAGCGGCGTGCGTTACATAGTACCGTAATAAAATTTACATTTAAAACTGTGTTAGTGTTACGAGATTCTATCGAATCGTATTTATTGTGAATCACTACTACCTACTACTCGTGAAGTAAATGTTATTAACTTACGCTGAAATCACTCTAACTTTCATATATATGTATATATAAGTATAACTGAGACCTGGCTTCACATGAATTCATTACAAAAATTCGAATTTCTCAGCTTGTACTACACTACACATACGAGTATGTATTATACATATAAACCTTCCTTTTGAAGCAATCTATCGATTGCTGAAAACTCCATTAAAATCCGTTACGTAATTTAAAAGATATAATCAAACAGACAGCAGCGACGACTTTGTTTTATACTATAATAATAATAATATGTAAAGATATATACATGTTTGTTGCCTCTTCATACTTTTCTGAATAGGAGAGTGTACCTACATAAAACTATATATTAGGCTATAATCGTAATTAAATGTGTTTTGGGTAACTCCGTTATAAACATTAACGATTGAGGAAAAAGTTATTTGATTAATGATTAATAATAACTCATGACAACTCACAGCGTCATTTAGTCCGAAGCTAAGTACAGTCTGTGTTATGGGTATTAGACAACTGATATTAATACATGCAAAATGCGAGGTGTCGAACTAGCGATTCATAATTTTCAATTGTAAGTATAATACAGTGACTACAGAAACTATTTGTTACGTTAACGAAAATTTATATATTAAACTAGCTGTCCCGGGAAACGTTGTTTTGCCATATAAATTAATAACGCTATAAAAAATAGGGGTTGATGATAGAAGGGTGAAAATTTAGGATTGTATTTATTTTTGTATGTTGTATCTTAAAAAAATAGAAACTAAAAATTTTGTTTAATAAATAAAAAAAAAATTTAGGCGTGGACTACCCCTAACATTTAGGGGGATGAAAAATAGATGTTGGCCGATTCTCAGACCTGCTCAATACGCTCACAAACTTTCATGAGAATCGGTCAAGCCGTTTCGGAGGAGTATGGGAACGAAAACTGTGACACGAAATTTTATATATAAGACTGCGTCGGTGTGATAGGAGGTTCAAGAGTGTTGTAATTATCTTGTAATAGTTGCAATTATTTAACAATAAGCTAAACCACAGATAGAGCATGAATTAATAGATCTGCGGGTACTAAAGTCAATCGGTGTAATTTATATTTAATGGTACATTACATTGAAGCATAAATAAAAGTTAATCTATCTATTTTATTATGATTTTTTTATTAAATCAACAAGCTCTTGTGGCCTCGGGCATCATCTGGTATGCGTACGTTACATTTGTTCCTACATTTGTAATATATCTATCAACACTCGGCACCCTTCCATTAAACATGAATAATGGAAGAGTACCGCGTGTTGACAGAACTATTAAAAGTACACGTAGGCACACACACATAGGTCTCTGGTAAATAGGATATTATTATCATAATGAAATTAAAATGCAATTCTCCACAGAAGACAGAATTTTTAATATGTGGTTTTAATCTTACATAATACATTATTATATTACATTTATTTTTTATTAAAACAGATTTTATTATTGCACAAATAAAATCAAAAATAATGAATCACGACTTTTGAATTGAGAAATCTAATGTAAGTAAACAAAATGCTTACACGCAATAAGTTACTATGTAGACTAAGTAATACTTATTTGTTAATTATAAATTAGTATTGTCTCAATTAAAAAATCGTACATCACCTCACATCAACTTTAAATATGTAATTGACTATCAGAATTTATTTTCAAGGACATTACTCAAACTATTTCAACCAATTTATCAATACTAATACTTAAGAATCTGAAATTGTGGCTGAATATCCGTTTCTTGCCTTTTCACGATTAAACTGTATGGATCTGAATGAAATTTGATATGAAGATAGATGTTGTCACAGGGACGGTTATTGGCTAGCTTTTATTTTAAAAAATCATAAATTTTGGACAGACGAAGTCGCGGATAAAGTTATATAGGGTATACTAAAATACAGGTAGAATACTTATGAAATAGAATAGAAACTAAATGTAAATCATGAATTAATAGAATGGAACAGAAACCTTATATAAATAAAATTAAATACAAGTATATTTGAATTGAATTATCACACTTTTTTCTTAATTTTACCACTTCTTTGTAAAACCTGTTTCAACACAAGAAATAAAGGTTATTTCTTTTTTCATTTGTCCATATAGCATGAATTTAAGAGAATCATAAAAATGTAAGTTTATATTCAGAAATCGATATTGTTTCTTGGTGAATCAATGATTCTGTTTCATACCCATTCTACCTAGTAATAGTTTCCTAAACAGCAAAAAAATTAACATAATTTTAAACCAATTTTAATAGCTACCAAACAGTAATAACACATATCTATCTACTGCACAAACTTTATTATGTACGGTTTTGTTTAAGTTATTTCTCGTTAATTGTAAATTATTGTAAATGTTTACAATGGTTATAACTGTTACAAAGTTTTACTTCATGAAAATAGTGAAATGGAAATCTTTAGTATATTTAAAATTTACAATTTCTCCGTTGTATACTTACATTACTTACGTTTACTTACATTAAGTTAGTCTGCTAACAGATTTAACTTAATGTAGGTAAAATATATGGTAATATCTAACGATATATGTCGCAGGATAAATGATAAAATATATTTTATCACAGTTCCGTTAATTTGACAATTTATAAAGATATTGTGAAATTTTATATACAACATTCCCAATAGTCTGTTAGGTTACGGAACAAAATTGAGAGAGATTCTGTAAAATCCGAGTGCCGACTCGGTAGAGTGTAATGCAGGTATTGGGATAAACCTATGTCCGGCAATGGACTGCAGTGAGCTGATGTTGATGATGATAGCTCATCGTGATAAATGCCTGGTGAATTTACCATGATGGGGTACCTAAGCTGACCTCATATTCATCTTATCATCCTCCACTGGTGCCCCGCCAGCGTATACCGTTAACGCAGTCAGGTGCACCGTTCCATTATTATCCACAAGAAAAAACATACATGTATTATAAATTCTGAGTAAAAGCTATTAATTTCAATTTCACCATACACATTTTGAAAGTAAAAGATACATAAATATCATGAAATTCTATTGTACTATTTAGACGACTAAATTAAATAGTCTAGCAAATGCTTAGCTGTTCCTTAACTTTGCCTCCTATTTATAATTGACTGCATTAAAAAGCACCAGATTCAAATTTAGAAGTAAAATAATAATGCCCTTATTTCGTTATCATTTTATGTACAATTATATATACATTAATTAAGTATACACTAGCATAGACTCGATAGAACTGACCACAGTGCATACAGCACCAGGAAGTAAGAAATAGTTTTCACTACCTGATGTAGGTAGTATAATCTGAAATAAAAATGTAAGAATTAATATAAGAATTATACCAAGCTTTTTGTAATTTAAATCTATGTAATATTTTATTTCACTATTTAATGGGTTTATATTATTTTGTTTAATTCCGCTATAATTAGTATTTGTGTGATCTCACACAAATATTCAGTGCAGAAACTTGACTACCGTTACGAACTTCTCTAATGGTGATCAAATTCCGACCGTTATTGAGTCTTAACCCATATTGAGACACGTGTTTCTCCTCTGAATGAGGATCATCATGCATTGAATAGAGTTCGGATATAGCTTGGAAGCCACAGTGTTGACAGTTCGGCGACCAAACACGTGTCGCAATAAGGGTCTACACCCTTTTCGACCGTTTTTGAACCTACGTTCAATAACGGTCGGAATTTCATCACACATACTAGTTGTAGCGGAATTAAACAAAATAATATAAATTGATTAAATAGTGAAATTCCTTCACCTAAATATATAATATTCCATAACCACCTTCCGCAAATTAACACCTAATTCGATTAAATATAACATTTTATTTGCAACATGGCATTTGCAAGCAATTGTTTGCATAATTTTGAAATAAAATAAATAAATTTGAAGGTTTGAAGCGAAATATGCAGGCCGCCTCAATTAAAAAAACATTTCTAGTGGGAAATGCGGTGTCAAGTCTTATAAAAATATAGTAGTTGCTCTGTGCGTACGATTATAATACCGTTGCTTATTATAATGTATCTTTTATTAAATATATTAAAAAAAATTTCTTTTATAGATGAAGCCTAATATTTTAAATTGATAGATTAAAAACAAACAATTAATAATATAAATATATGTAAAGGTGCAGGTAGTCCTTGTAAAAAGTATTTTTCATCAGGCAGCTTACTTGCCATTCCGTTACATAACTATGCATATGTATAATAATTTAATGTCATAGAAAAAAAAATCTACAATTTATTCTATGCTCTAAAATTAATCCAATCTCTTTACTTTATGGTAAAGACAAGTGACAGAGAAAGAGTAATTGGAAAGAGTGGAGAGAGAGAGGAAAGATTTATAGAGACAAAAGAAGGATGATATTCGTGATATCTCAACACGGATATCACGGATAGTCCGTACTATCTCTCTGTAGAGGACAGCGTGAAATAACGTAGAATAAGATCAATAATAATGTAAAATTAAAATACAACGCATAATATCATATAGATAAGTTTAAAATAATGTAAATGATACAAACAGTATGATATATGAAAAAACGAGCAATAATGTATGTAAACCGTATTTAGTTATGTAAATATAAGCTATATGATTAAAATAACTATAACGAACTAGATATAAGTAATGTTCCTGTTATAGTTGTAGTATTTCACTATTGTTAAATGTGAAAATCTATGTAAGTTAGAGATAATTTACCTTGTATTTATAAGAAATACTATTGTGATGATTATGTATGTGTACTTTTTAGATAGGGAATTATGCGAAGTTCACATGTAAATAAGAATTATAAGGGGGAAAACGTGTTACAGAGGTAATAACATCGAAAAACTCCAAAAGTCATAATGAAAATTAACTTTAGAATCGAGCTAAAAACACGGAGCTCGCGATAAGGTATTGCCTCCGGAATACGTAACCAACGAAATTTGTATGAAAAATTAGGGTCGCTTTCCAGTTTGTTGCTTGTTGAGTTTACCGTTGGTCGTGTGATCCTCTGTGAGACTCCGGTTCGCCGTCGAGTCTCCAGAGTGAGCCCCGCAACTGGTGCCCACTTGCGCAAACTGTTGAGAGCGATACAGTGCGTAATCCAACTACACAAAGTGTACTTTGTTTAGCAAGAGAACGCGCTAGGATTGCAGACCGAATTTGTTGGTGCAAATTCGTCGCTGCAATCCACTTGCGACTGTCTTACAGTGCGATCTCCTGCCCTTTCAGGGCGGAATTCCCTACTTTTCGGTAGGTTCGTCGTGGGGTTCCAGCCCCCACACCACCCTCTTCCACCCCTCCAGTCCCCTTTCCTAATACATCACCCTATAGTGTCGTGATGTCGCAAAGGGGCAAAGCCCCCAGGAAACCTCCTGACAGGGGAGCTCCCCGAACTGTTGTGCGTCGGGATTTAAGGAACCCGACCAAGCTGGTCCCCGCCACTGAGCTGGGGACCTTCCACGCTCGCCCGGCATCCAAGGGCACCCCCTCTGCCCTCGCGGGAAGCGGCAATGATGCCGCCGACCGGGAACCAGGCAGAGGGGAAAGATGCGCGCAACCTGGCCCATCTAAAAGACGCGCACCGCCGTCGCCGACCTCGCCCGCTAGAGGCGACAAACGGAGGGACGTAGAGGAGTCCCCCCCCCGCGACCTTGACCTAGTGAAGGTGCCGCCGACGCCGAGAATCCGGCTTGTGGACAAGGGCTACCAACCCCTACCGTCCCAGTCGGGTACCGTGCGGCGAAAGCCTTCACCCCCTCCGCGCTCACCCTCCCCCCGCCGGATAGCGGGAGCGAGGAGGGAGGGGAAGACAGGCGTTTTTACGGTGACGCATGCTCGTCGCCGTCACCAGCGTCGTCGCCCGAGACATCGCGAGCACCCTCGCCACTACCCCGTTCCTACACATTGGATAGGGGTGGATATGACGCCACTTCTTATGTGGCACTCGAGGCGGTTTCACAATCGCCCGAGCCGATGCTCCCCCGTCCCCTCGCCGCGACGACGAACCCCGCCGTCATTCGCGGCAGTAGCGGCGGGTCCCGCCACCGCGGCCCCCGCCACCCCAGCCCCTGCCACCTCAATTGCCCCGGCCCTCGCTCCGCCCCTCCCCTCTCAGACGAGGAACGCCGACGCAGGCGCTGAACCCGCCACAGGGCGAGGAAAATACCCCCATAGTGGCAGAACGCCTCCCTAACTGGACGCGCCACTTCGACCAGCTCAGGCGCGTACTGGGGGAGGCACCCAACGCACGACCCTACGGCACGGGGGTCAGATTCCTACCTAGGACGGACGAAGAATTCCGTGCCGTCCAAAGGTATTTGGTAGAGGCCAGCGAAAAGGACCCAACAATAAGTTGGTACTTTTATAGTCTGGCCTCCGAACTGCCCACTAAGGTGGCGATAAGAGGACTCCCAGCCGACACGCCCAATGACAAGATTGCGGAGGCACTGCAGGAGAAGGGGTTCGGAGTGCGGCTAGTGCGGGGCATACCCGCGCGTCGCGGCCGCCCCGGCTGCATTTTCCACGCCCAACTCGACCCCATGGACAGGGACGAGCTCACACGCTTGTACGCGACTGATGAGCTCCTGTACATGCGGGGCGTCGTCGTTGAGGCGTGGAAGCCGGCATCGGTGCTGCCACAATGCCACAGATGCCAGGCATTCGGCCATGCATCGGCCAATTGTCACCGGCCTGTGAAATGCGTTCGCTGCGGTGGGGAGCACCCGGCGGCGAACTGCGACAGGCCGAGGGACCAAAAACCGACATGCGCCAACTGCGCCAAGGCACATACGGCCAACGACAGAAAATGCCCGGTGTATAAGAGGGAGGCACGGCAGAGGGGCATCAAACCCCGCCCCCCCGTCCCTACCGCGACGACAAAAACGCCCGTGGCGCAAACACAGCGTCGTAATAAACCCACCGCGGCGCCGCGTACCTACGTCGCCCAGGCCCCTCCTCCCGTAATAACGGTCGAGGAAACAGCCGGCGCCAACCTAATGGCGCCAGCCAACGAGCCGAAGCATCGCGGCACCGACACCGGTGAAAATAAAAGACGCCGCCGCCGAAGACGCGGCAAGAAGAGGCGCGGTGATGGGCCAGTTACGGCCTCAACTCCAATCCCCTTCTTACCGATCCCACCCCTACAAGCTATGCGTACATCGCACCCCCTGGGGCCTTCCCATGTATGCCGTCCCAACACAGGGTCCACGAGTTGCGCCACGTCGCCGCCGGGCGGCGCCACCGGCACATAGCGTGCCGAGAGTGGCATTCGAACCGCCACAGGCGGACGCAAGACGCGCACCTCCCGCGCCCCCCACACGGACCGCACACCCAGAGGCGCGAACGATATACACCGCACCCGCTCCCTTCACACAAGCGCCCGTCGACAGAGCACTGAACATGCTTATTAGCCTGTTGACGGAGCTGCTAACAACGCTCGCGGCCGGCGCGGACACAAAGTCGGCGGCATTAAATGGATTGGCCAAAATCCAACAGTACACAAATGGCGGGTACTAGCCTGCGCATTGTGTACTGGAACCCCGGGGGAATAAAGGATAAAGTCCAGGACCTCCGTCTCCTAGCTCGCACCCAGGATGTGCACATCATACTCCTGGGTGAAACGAAGCTCACAGAAAAGGAGACGTTGAGGGTGCCTAACTACCACGTGTATAGACGCGACGAAACGTCACCGGCGGGCATTGCGTACCGCGGTACGGCGGTACTAGTCCGTCGGGACGTAGTCCACGTGGAGTTAGAGCGCCCCGAGTTCCGCGTCATGCGCTCCATAGGAGTCAGCATCAACGTCGACGGCGCGGAACTGAAGGTCCTGGCAGCTTACCGTCCCCCGGGACTGGATTTCAGCCCCTCCGATGTCCGGAACGTTCTGGATGGGAGGAGTCCCACCCTGCTTATGGGCGACCTAAACGCGAAGCACACGGCTTGGGGTTCCCGTCTGTGCTCGCCGATAGGTCGAAGACTCCTCCAGGATTCGCAGATCCACGGGTACGAGGTGTTGGGCCCAGCGCACCCAACCCACGTACCCTCAAATCCCACACATAGCCCAGACGTTCTGGACATTGCCCTAGTGCAGGCTGTGCCTTGCCCGGTCTTACTGGAGGTGCTGTACGACCTTGACACGCAGCACCTCCCAGTTCTAGCCACGCTTGACCTCTCCATCACCACCACACCGACGAGACCGTCGAGGCGGCGGATGGATTGGCGTGTTTTTCGCGCAGAATTGGAGCATCTACACCTCGACGGCGAACTATCATCGCCAGCGGGTGTCGAAGCCGCCTCCACACTCATAACGGAGCGAATCCGCACCGCAGTGGAGGCGGCAACTACCACAATAAACGTGGCTTCTCGCCGTCGAGAGGAATTGCCACACCATCTGCGCGAAAAACTCGCCCGGAAAAAGAATCTCCGTCGCCTATGGGCCCGAACCCGTTGCCCGCGGGTCAAGCGTGAGCTCAACTGCTTGGCTGCAGAGCTGTCGGAGGGAGTGCGGGATTGGCGTGGAGCCGCCTGGGATGGTGTCATATCCCGGGCTGGCGAACACGATACCGACCTGCACAAACTCAATCGACAGCTCACCAATGCACGACCTCCCGTCTGCCCGTTGCTTGACGAGACGGGCAGACGTCGTTACGCAGCCCAAGACCGGGCAGAAATCCTGGCACAGCACTTGGAGGGGCAATTCACGGCCAATCCAATCGCCGCCGACGCACCCAGCACTGTCGTCGAGCACCACGAGCGAGTCGTACGTCGCGTATGCGATTTCCGTACCGCTCCGTCGCCGGACGTAAACGAAGTGAGCTTCGTTTCGCCCGGCGAGGTAAGGCGGCTCGTCAGCCGCCTGCCGAAGCGCAAAGCGCCCGGAGCGGACGGGATCAGCACCGCAGCGCTCGCACAGCTGCCCCGTAGAGCCCTAGCGTGTTTAGCTAGGCTCTACAACGGTATACTCCGGACCGGCCACTTCCCTACCAACTGGAAGTTGGGTAGAGTCATAGTCCTCCCGAAACCCGGCAAGGACAAGCGCCTGCCGGCAAGCTACCGGCCCATCACTCTGCTCTCGCACGTAGCAAAGTCGTTCGAGCGCCTCCTGCTCCGCCGCCTGAGACCGACTCTGTCGCCTCGCGACGAGCAGTTCGGTTTCAGAGGCGGACACTCGACGACTTTGCAGCTGACGCGCGTGCTCCACCATATGGCTGTCGAGCACAACCGCGGCCACTACACGGTCGGCGTATTTCTCGATATAGAGAAGGCGTTCGACCGTGTGTGGCACGACGGTTTGGTGTCAAAGCTGCTCGACACCAACACGCCGTCAGCATACGTGCGAGTAGTGGACTCGTTCCTCTCGGGCCGGAGCTTCTATGTTTCGGTCGAGAACTGTGACTCTACCACACGCCCAATTGCCGCCGGAGTCCCGCAGGGCAGCTGCATTTCGCCAGCGCTCTACGCGACGTACACAGACGACATCCCCACCTTGAGGGATGAGCTCCGAGAGGGAGAGAGGGATGTCGTCCTCGCTCTTTTCGCCGACGACAGTGCCTTCCTTACGTCGTCTCGCCGAGCCTACGCAGCCGCTCGCAAAATGCAGCGGCTGTTGGACCTGCTCCCCGAGTGGCTGGATAAGTGGCGTACCACCGTTAACGTGGGTAAAACGGTGGCGCTGCTTACCCGCCCCGGGTGCAAATGCCCGCCGCCCCTCTTACTGAGAGGCCAGCCCATCCAGTGGGAACGCACAGTGCGTTACCTAGGGGTGGAAATCGACCGGTCGCTGCGTATGAAGCCGCAGGTGGACCGGGTTGTCACCCAAGCCAAGGCCGCGCGCGCTATGCTGCGACCGGTCTTACAATCCAGGCTGCAGCTGCGGACGAAAGTAGGCATTTATAAGACCTACATTCGTTCGCGGCTCACATATGCCGCCCCCGCATGGTACGCACTGTGCTCGGCCTCACAGCGGCGGAGACTGCAGGTCCAACAGAACGCCGCCCTCCGTCTGTGCACAAATGCCGGACGGTACGTCCGTAATGACGTGATCGCCCGCGACCTCAAGGTCCCATCGGTGGAGCAGTTCGTCGTCCGGTTGACGCGCGCGATGTTCTCGCGCGCGGACAGCGGGCGCGAAGCGCACCTGCGCGACCTCGCCCCTCTCCACGCGCGCCCACCGGACGCCACTCGCGCGCTCCCGCGCGACTTACTCTCCACCGAGTGATCACGTCATTTACGTGACGTGGCGGCGTTAAGCCGGCTCGGCGAGCGACTTATAGAGTCCTCTTACACGACTCCCACAGCCGGCTGCGGGAAAGTCCGGCCGGCCGGCAGGCCGGCCGGTAAACGAACGACGCTGGGGTGGTATACCCCAGCAGTATGCTCGGGTAAAGAGCGTAAGCTCGGGGCCCGTACCCAGCGGTCCAATTAGGACCAGCGGACGACCCAATAATAAATGAAAAATTATTCCAGTACCAGTTCAGTATATTCCTACGTAGTACAGTATTATATATTCAGTTCAGTAGTTCAGTACGGTCAGCAAGTTGTAACTATCAAGAAATTAAACCAGTGAAGTAACCCTGGGATTTTATTTACCGGCCATAACATTGTGTGGTCCTTCGAGTAGCCGGATCTACGGAAGAAAAAATGGTCGTTACAAGAAGTCAAGCTGGGAACGAAGAAACGGGAAGGGTATATACGGAGCCCCCACGCTCTCCGTCGGCAGCAGCGTCGTCGAGCCAGCATCCTGCACACGGCGGGATACATACCGAACGAGGGACACGCGCCGCTGAACAAACCGACCGAGAGGCCCGAGCTACAGTTGCCGATCGTGCCGCGAACCGGACGGACGCGACCGCAGCCAGTACAAGGGAAGCGCCAGTACCTGAAGCCCGAGAAACCGTACAGAATGTACCAGATCCAGTGTACACTACTCCACGAAAGGCGATTTCTATACGAACGCGCCGCTCCACTGCAAGCGTTATTGCTCGCATGCAGTATGAAGCTGAAGAAAAACTAGCAGCCATACGAAGACGGGAACTGCAGATAGAAGCGGAACTGATTAAAAAGAAGCTCGCTGCAGACATGGCCGCGCTAGAAGAGGACAGTAATACTGAAGAAGAGGAGCCACCAGAACAAGTGAAGCAACGCGTCACTGCCTGGCTGAACGAGAGTGGCCCCGACCAGGAAACAGCACGGGGGAGTCAACTGCACCCTACCCTCCGCAGATCACCACTACTGCAACGATGGAATCAAAACCAGTAGATACGCCGCACAGAAGACGAACAACAGAAGGCTATAAAACGCGTGTCGGATGGGAGACACCACACAGAGAAAAATCTCCTACTCCAGCAAGATCACGTGGCCGAGGGGTAGAACAATTAGCGGAGGTGTTAGAAAAAATGATGACCCGCCGCCCGCCGCCTCGTCAAGCCTCCGAACTACCAATATTCACCGGCGCACCGACCGACTGGTTACAATTCAAGACGGCAATGGAAGATACAACTGCCATGTATAATTTCACGCCGATGGAAAACTTAGCTCGCCTTCGTAACTGCCTACGCGGGGAAGCTAAAGAAGCGGTTGCACCGTTACTAGGTGTCGCAACACCGCCTGATCAAATAATGAAGACATTAGAACAATGCTTCGGACGACCGGAAGTCATCATAGATCGATTGATGGAAGACATGAAAAAACTACCGAGACTCAGCGGAACAGCCGTCGAATTAAATACATTCGCCGTTAAAATTCAGAACGCTGTAGCTATCCTGAGAAGATTAAAGCAAGGATATCTTCACAATCCATTGCTTATCAGAGACATACTGGAGAAGCTCAGCCCTCATCAGAAGACCAGGTGGTACGACTACGCAGTAGAGGCTTCAGAAACAAGTAGCAAGCCAGAAATAATTATGCTGTCGGAATTTCTGATGAGAGAAGCTGATAGAGCCTTGAAGCACGGGTTCTATACAGTGAAGAAAGAAGTACCTCGACCTGTTGTTAAAACCACAGAACTCAGAATTAAGAAGCCGGTTTTTGCAATTAACACCGAGGAAAACGAAGAGGAAATCATGAAATGCCCCGCTTGTGGACAAGGACACAACTTACCTAAGTGTTCTAAGTTCCTCAATCAGAACATACAAGAAAGATGGAACACGGCGAAGAACGCTAAGCTATGTTTCAAATGTTTATCCCGAAGACATAGAAGAATGAACTGTCGAGCGAAGAGCTGCGGAAGCAACGGCTGCAAGCGACCGCATCATGCGCTACTTCACCAGGAAACGGTTGCATCATCCGTAACAACCGTTTCAGAAACCGAAGACACCGTGGCAACAGCATCTATTGCTCACGGACGAGAAATAAAACTGAAAATACGACCTGTAACGATAAGCGGACCAAAAGGAGAAACGAAGATCTATGCATTATTCGATGAAGGTTCAACAGTCACGCTGCTGGATAACGAAATAGCAGAAGCGATTGGAGCCGACGGACCCTCTAAGACATTATCAATGCATGGAGTAAATTCAGAACATAAAGAAATGAACAGCCGAACAATAAAGTTGAACATTCGCAGTCAAGACGGAAAGGAACACGTCATGACAGCCAGAACATTGACCGGCATGAATTTATTAAGTCAGTCAATACCTGAAAAGCTATTGGACTTAGAACATCTTCAAGATCTCAAACAAGAAGACTTGTGCTATGAGAATAAGAAACCACAACTTCTCATAGGCACCGACAACTGGCAACTGATCGTGTCCAGAGAACTAAGAATGGGAAAGAAAATCAACCAGCTGCCTCTAAAACACAGCTCGGCTGGGTGATCCATGGAAGCGTTCCGAAAAAGATTATAAAGCAAGATTGCGAGAACATCCTTCACGTAGTGAACGTCATCTCACAAGGCGATCACTTAGAAGAAATGATAAAGAAACACTTCGAAATCGACGCACTAGGAATAGCGACAGAAAAGAAGTTAAATAAACAGGATCAACGTGCCGTTGACATCTTCGAGAGAACAGCGAAACGAAGAGAAGACGGACACTACGAGGTCGGACTCCTATGGTGCCGAGACGACATCGAGTTACCTGTAAATTATAACAACGCTCTCAGAAGACTGAAAAATCTAGAGCACAAATTGAATAGATCAGCTGAAGAGAAACAACAATACGAAGAACAAATAAAGAACTTGGTAAACAAGAAATACGCTGTAAAGTGTGACGGATCAGAAACAGGCAGCAAAGTGCAATGGTACTTACCACACTTTCCCGTTAGAAATCCAAACAAGCCGGGAAAGGTGCGACTGGTGTTCGACGCCGCAGCTAAAACCCACGGAGTATGCCTGAACGATTTCTTGCTAGAAGGCCCTGATCTGTTGATATCACTGATGAGAATACTCTTTCGATTCCGTGAAGAAGCCGTCGCCGTAAAAGCCGACGTGGAAGAAATGTTTCTTCAAATAAAAATAAGAAAAGAAGACCAACCTGCGCAAATGTTCCTGTGGAGGGAAGATGAAAATCAACCGCCCACAACATATAAGATGGCAGCAATGATTTTCGGCGCTACGAGTTCACCGTTTCTGGCGCACGCTGTCAGAAATAAGAACGCACAAGAATATAATGAAACGCATCCCGAAGCTTTTCGTGCAATAACGGAAGCCCACTACATGGACGATTATGTGGATAGTTACGCCACAAAAGAAGACGCTGAAAAAGTAATAAGTCAAGTGGACTACGTGCACAAGAAGGCAGGCTTCAGATTAAGAGGATGGACGAGCAACAATATTAACATTATGAAGAATATACCGAAAGATCGGCATGCGAAAAACACAACGCAAGCGATCACCAAAGATGAACAGAAGACATTGGGAATGTTATGGGACTCAGTGAACGACGTGTTGAAATTTAATACTTCACTGAATAGAGTTCCCAGAGAAGTATACAATATGACTCGTGCACCGACCAAGCGAGAAACTCTAAGCACAGTCATGAGTATATACGATCCGCTGGGATTACTCAGCTGCTATACGATCACCGCGAAAATGATACTCCAAGACCTGTGGCGACAGAAACTGGGCTGGGATGAACCGCTGCCGTCAGAAGCCTCTGAAAACTTCGCCAAGTGGTTAATGAACCTCGAACATATTAGCCGCCTCGAACTACCGCGAAGTTACAACGGGGGGAGTCCAGTGAGAAGTCGACAGCTGCACATCTTCTGCGATGCCAGCAAGGACGCCTACGCCGCAGCAGCTTATTGGAGGCTGGAACAAGAGAACGGAGACGTTAAGACTATTTTAGCAGCAGCAAAGGCTAAAGTAGCTCCGTTGAAAAGCCAGACGATCCCGCGACTGGAATTGCAAGCCGCACTGATCGGTGCGAGGCTAGGAAGCAATATTGTGAAAGATCATCGATGGATAGCCGACGCTGTTTTCTTCTGGACTGACGCTCAAGTGGTTCTACAGTGGATTCAGAACGGGAATCTGCGATATACACCCTATGTATCGCATCGACTGGGAGAGATCGCCGAATTGACGTCAGTACACCAGTGGAAATGGGTAACGAGCAAGCAGAACGTCGCCGACATAGCGACCAGACCAGGATACGTGCCGGAGAACCCCGAAGACCCATGGTTCCGCGGTCCGGAATTCCTATCGAGACCAATGAACGAATGGCCTCAACCACACTCGATCATCGAAGAACGAGATGACGAACAGATCATTCTACACGCAGTAGAAGACGACTGCAGGTTAGATTGCCTACCTGATGTAACACGCTTCTCTAGTTACGAGCGTCTTATCAGGGCGACAGCAATGGCGCTGCTGTTCCCGGAGAAGTGCCGGGATCGACGGGCTGCTCTACACGTCGACCACTTGAGAAGGGCAGAACTTTTATGGCTCCAGAAGGCACAGAACGACAGCTTCCGCGCCGAAATAGAGCTGATGAAGACGGGAAAGACACTTCCGAGAACAAGTCCACTATACCGGCTTCATCCAATCTATAAGGAAAAATTATTACGGCTGGATGGAAGAATCGAAGCTGCACACGTGTCCGCGGATATGAAGAATCCCATCGTGTTGGACGGTCGCCATCCCTTCACCAAATTATTAATAATGAAGGAGCACAGAAGAGCGGGACACGGAAGCCGAGAGAGAGTGGTGAATGACCTGCGTCAGAGATACTGGATCCTAAAGCTAAGACCGACAGTCAGAAGTTTGACGAAAGATTGCGCCTTTTGTCACGTGAGAAGAGCTAATCCTAAGAAGCCGCCTGTGGGAAACTTACCCGAAGAACGACTGGGAGCTTTCCACAGACCCTTTTCTCATTGCGGGTTGGATTACTTCGGTCCCATGACGGTGACGATCGGTAGACGTCATGAGAAGAGGTGGGGAGCTCTATTCACGTGCCTGACAACACGAGCGGTTCACCTAGAGCTTGTAGCATCCTTATCTACGGATTCCGCAATCATGGCAATAAGAAGAATGGCAGCTCGACGCGGATGGCCCATAACCATGTACAGCGATAATGGGACGAACTTCAAAGGAGCAGATGCTGAGCTCCGACAGGCCTACGCGGATTGGACTCCAGCCATGCAGGAACTAGGACTCCATTATCGGATGCAGTGGAAGTACATCCCTCCTGGAGCTCCCAGCCAAGGTGGAGCATGGGAGAGAATGGTGCGGTCAGTAAAAACCGCTTTGATCGCTACGCTGAACGAGAAGGCACCAAAAGAGGAGGTGCTGCAGACCGTGTTGACAGAGGCAGAATACTCTATCAACGCGAGACCCCTCACGCACGTGTCGGTGGATCCTGACGACCCTGAAGCGTTAACTCCTAACCACTTCCTGATCGGGTCATCAACAGGCCAGCCGTACGTGGGACCCTGCGAATTGGCTGACAGACGAACCTGGAGAGCAGCTCAAGGACTAGCAGACGAGTTTTGGAGGAGATGGCTCCACGAGTACCTGCCGACGCTCGTGCCACGACGAGGAACGCCACAGAACCCCCGAGTGATCGCTGAAGGGGACGTGGTCATCGTGGTCGACTCGTCGCTGCCTCGCAATACATGGCCGCGAGGGATTGTGGAACGTGTATATCCGGGCCCAGATGGTCAGGTGCGCAGTGCGGACGTCCGAACACGGAGCGGAGTGTTCCGGCGACCAACCTCCAAGCTAGCGGTGCTGCAGGAGACAATCCAGGATGCAAGACTAACCTCGCTGTCACCAGAAGAGGCTACGTCGTCACTACGCCGGGGGGAGACTGTAGAGGACAGCGTGAAATAACGTAGAATAAGATCAATAATAATGTAAAATTAAAATACAACGCATAATATCATATAGATAAGTTTAAAATAATGAAAATGATACAAACAGTATGATATATGAAAAAACGAGCAATAATGTATGTAAACCGTATTTAGTTATGTAAATATAAACTATATGATTAAAATAACTATAACGAACTAGATATAAGTAATGTTCATGTTATAGTTGTAGTATTTCACTATTGTTAAAAGTGAAAATCGGTGTAAGTTAGAGATAATTTACCTTGTATTTATAAGAAATACTATTGTGATGATTATGTATGTGTACTTTTTAGATAGGGAATTATGCGAAGTTCACATGTAAATAAGAATTATAAGGGGAAAACGTGTTACAGAGGTAATAACATCGAAAAACTCAAAAGTCATAATGAAAATTAACTTTAGAATCGAGCTAAAAACACGGAGCTCGCGATAAGGTATTGCCTCCGGAATACGTAACCAACGAAATTTGTATGAAAAATTATTCCAGTACCAGTTCAGTATATTCCTACGCAGTACAGTATTATATATTCAGTTCAGTAGTTCAGTACGGTCAGCAAGTTGTAACTATCAAGAAATTAAACCAGTGAAGTAACCCTGGGATTTTATTTACCGGCCATAACAGGTAGATTAAAAAAAATGTATTGACTATTCAAAAGTGCTTCAATGTAACTTTATTTGAATAAATGATTTTCTATTCTATTCTATTTTATTTCTCGTTTATAATAATAATGAGATTCTATAAACCAATTATGTACTCCAAAAGGGATCCTTTTTCCGGCCTATTTTGACTTAGCAACAAAGAGCAACAGAATGCCCGGTCGCCAATGATAACATTGAACCTACACTGATCCGTCCGCCCTTTTTATGGGCAGTTATTCTAGACAATGTACTTAATAATAATAATAATAATCTCAGGTCAATTCACACAGCGCCATCTACACCCAAGTTAAGCTAGCTAAAGCATGTGTTATGTATACTACACAACTGATACAAATACATATGTAGTATTTTGTTTTCGTAAATACATACATATTATACATAGAAAACACCCAGAGCGATACAAACAATCATACTCATGAATATAAATGTTTGTGCCGTGCGAGGAATCGAACCCACGCCCATCGGACGTAAAGCGGCGTGCCAAACCGCTAAACCACCGAGGTCGTCATTCACTTAATATATTCATGTATTAATTAATTCAATCAGCACTCACTACACTACAATTAGTACGATTAGATTGGGATCGTTATTAATGTGAACCATGTCAGGTCGACCTCCACCCGGTTCCCCCTGGAAACCATCGTGATAAATTTCAGGTGAATTTATCATGATGATAAGATACTCATCTTATCAGCGCTAACGTTTATTAGCGCGGACCACCAGTGGAGGATGATAAGATGAGCATGAGGTCAGGTCAGTTCACAGTGTCACGATAGTTTGTAGGGGGAACCGCGTGGAGGTCAACCTGACATGGTACACTGCTAGAAATGGTCAGCAGTCCATATTACTAACAATCCCCTTGCCCCCATTGTGACGCCCTTGGAACTTTGCTATCTTTTGCGACGCCCCTCAACCCAGCCCCCAAAATACTTACCAATTTTAGTAATAGTCTAGTAATAGGTTAACAGAAAAACACTATTGTTAGTACTAGTCTAGTAATAGGTTAACAGAAAAACACTATTGTTAGTACTAGTCTAGTAATAGGTTAACAGAAAAAGAATATTGTTCAAATATGTAATTTTAAAATTTTTAGTACTAGTCCAGAATTACGTAATTCGTGTTTTTCTGTTAACCTATTACTAGACTAGTACTAACAATAATGTTTCTCTGTTAACCTATTACTAGACTAGTACTAACAATATTGTTTCTCTGTTAACCTATTACTAGACCAGTACTAACAATAGTGTTTCTCTGTTAACCTATTACTAGACTAGTACTAACAATAGTGTTTCTCTGTTAACCTATTACTAGACTAGTACTAAGTAGTTTTTCTGTTAATGTGCCTGGCGCTCTGACACGGGATGCTTCTGAACAACGACGACAGTTTGGGAAACCCTGGCATAACGTATTAGCGAGGGATGAAAACATCAGGAACCTAAGGGCGAAAGTGACGAGGGTCGGACGAGGCGCGACCACAACACAACACCAGTCATCAATCGACATTGAAGTCTTGTAAGAGAACACACTTACGGTCGAGAACTGAACTTCGGACTGGGGCTCGATGACTTGCAACATCCTGTCCTAACTCAACACTATAAATCAAGTAATACGTACTGGTAAATAGACACATATGATACTACATACAAACGTAATGTATTCCTCTTTATAGTATAATAATAATCTCAGGACAATTCACACCGCGCCATCTAGACCCAAGTTAAGCTAGCTAAAGCTTGTGTTATGGGTACTAGACAACTGATACAAATACATAGATATTTTTTTCGTAAATACATACAATATGTATGATACAAAACATCCAGACCGAAACACACAAACGTACTCGCATGCAAATGTTTGTGCCGTGCGAGGAATCGAACCTGCGACCATCAGCAGTAAAGCAGTGTGCTCAACCACTAGACCAGCGATTAAATATTTGCTATATTTTATTAGATATAAACAATAATTATCATTTACGACTTTTTATTCTTTCTTTAACTGAGATTTGTTACGGATATAGTCGACATATCCACAGCATCCTTCAGGAGGACAGGAGGAGCGAGGCTTGCGGCACATCTCGTCACGGTCACGTGACATCAGACGCACACGTAACTCTATCTTGATTTAGTGAGCTATTACCCGAGTCTGACACATTTCTTCGTTTCTCCCATGGAATGGCTATATTTAGCATTGCTTATTATTTTGGCCGTAAAGCCAGAGCACCGTTCTGTCTGGAACTCTGTAGGAATGTTAATTGTGATAGGAAACATGTGGCGGGTTGTCGTTATGTTACGGCGCGGCGGAAGGTCGGTACGTTGGGCTGCAAGTCGGCCGTGTGCGCCCCGCCTTATTTATGGAGCGAATTAGAGAACTCGATCTGTTGTCACGTGAGATGCAATCTCTACATACAAATAAAATTGGAGTGTCAGTTTGTAATATCGAAATAACCGTTTTTTACTACATGCATATGAATATAAATACGGTACATACACCAATATAACATTTTTTACAATTTTTCTCTGTCTGTCTGTTTGATCCGGCTAATCTCTGAAATGGCTGAACCGATTTTGACGGAACTTTTATTGGCAGATAGCTGGTGTAATAAGGAGTAACTTAGGCTACTTTTATTTTAGAAAAAATCTCTAATTAACTTATTTGTTAAATTCCACGCGGATGAAGTCGCGGGTACAGCTAGTCTTATATATAAAATTCTCGTGTTAATGTTAGTTACCATACTCCTCCCAAACGGCTTGATCGATTTTTATGAAATTTTATATACATATTCAGTATTTATTTTTATTATATATATATTTTTATATACATAGTCAGTCTGAGAATCGGCTACTATCTATTTTTCGTATTTATATAATATTATCATAAACTACGTGTTTTCATCATTGTGATCCGATCCATAACAATCTGATTGAAATTAATGAGAGCAGAGTTTCTTATCAGTTCTCGGATTCAAACTACGCCCCGTACTGACTTTACGTTTGTAAATTTTATTAAGAAGTTATTAAAAAACTAATCATAACAGTATGTAATTAGACCTACAGGAATGAAGACAGATGTGATTTGATTTTGGTTGTAAAAACATTAAACAGTATAACGTCAGTAGTTCGCCAGAACGTGGCACACAGCGCCATCTGGTGTCAAAGTAAGCGAAGTTGGTGTACAAGTATATTTACTGTAAATATACACTTGTCACATAAAAATGATAAGTCTAGACTTAATTATGAAGGCTTAATGCCTTGTCTTGCCTACAAATGATTGTATTATGCGGAATTTGAACCCGCTATCAGTGAGTAAGTATGCTAGACCTCAGATATTCTCCCATAGAAGTTCTACTGGTTTTTATAATACATGATATATGACACAGAAATCTACAATTATTAGGGACATATATATTCTACTTTAGTTCGTTATTTTTTTTTGTTATAGGAAAGATTTGATGTTTGCATTGAATAGACACTTAAAACTACTGGACCGATTTAGAAATTCTTTACCATCAGATTCCTACATTTAAAATAACAACAAAAATATATATAATACTGATAATATTATAATATTCAAACTTCATGTGTGTGTGTGTGTGTGTGTGTGTGTTAAAACTAATATTTTTAATTTTTGTTAGAATAGAATAGAATAGAATAGAATAGAATAGAAAATCATTTATTCAAATAAACTTACATTGAAGCACTTTTGAATAGTCATTACATTTTTTAATCTACCGCTCGTTCGGAATGCTGTCTCTTCACAAGAAGAACGAGCAAGAAACTTGCGTGTTGCTCTTTTAAATAATTTTATTATTACTTTACATTTTTAAGTTTAAGTGTGTGAATACAAACCACCAATTAGCACTAATTCAATTAAATACTCAAAAAGAAAATTAATTATAAAGGAACGAAATATACCTAAATCACAAACCTAACCAATTTCATATACACACATAGTTACGTACTAGTATTCTAGGAATATTATTATCAATAAAAAAATTGCTTTCTCATTCTTCTTGTGATGAGACAGAATAATTTGATTTCTGGATAAGCTGCAGATTAAAAAAGGGATAACTATGACTATTCAAAAGTGTTTAATTTAAGTTTATTCGAATAAAGGATTTTCTATTATAAAAAAATCACTAATCAATAAAACCATTGCACTTACTATGTTGCAACAAAATTCCGATGTTGGCCAAAGAGTATAAATATATCGTTTTTAAGACATGGCTGCACTACTTTTAAGTTACATTTAAATACATATACCCTCGTCTGTTTATTTTCATATATTTAGTAGTACAACACAGTGTACGACATGTTTTTTTGACATAATTATGAATGGCTGTACGTGTCCCTTCCGTAGGTTTATATAAAAAAACCGACGAATATCATCTTTACGGTTTCTGCGAATCCCATCCGTCGCAGTGTTTATGGGAAGGTGCGCGCACGCCGACGCCACCCTGAAACATATGTTTCCTTTGACAGAAAACAGCTGTTGCACGTTCTAGGAAACACTAACGCGTTCCAAATCGGAACTCGCCACGCGTGGAACCTACCCCTTTGTTATAGGGTGGAGAATGGTGCAGCAGCCATCAGCTCCCTCGAGAAAGGTAACGGCAATCAGCTGAGCGTGGTTCACGCTATTTCCAGTAAACAGGATGCGGCGCGTTTGAAAGCTCTCTCAGTCGTCCCGCACTGCTGGGGATATTATTTACGGTGACGTACACCGAACGTGTTTACCCCAAACAAAACAGCTGATCCGAGGCCACAGGCACTGAACACATATTTCGGTGCAATGTGATTTTTGACGTGAATACTAAATTTGCTTTCATAGTGAGGGGCAATTAAAAAACTTTTGACAACAAAATCGGAGGATACCCTTTGGTATCGTAGCTACTTATATATAATGTATATACAAAATTAAAGGATTACACGGATAGGTAATGAATCAAACAATTGGTTACGATGTTGGATTGTAACGAATATATAAATATAAAAATTAACAATAAGATACCAAAGCATATATTGGAATTAACCTTAAATAAATTCAAAACATCTGTTAAATCATATTTACAGAGCAAGGCCTATTACTCACTAAACGATTACTTGAATGACGAGCGCACATGGCAATAGTTTTCATGTACGGGATTTTAATGTTAGACATAGACACCTATACAAATACCTATGCATTGTAAATAAACTGGCTTTTAAAAAAAAGTTATGCAATTGAGTTTCTTGCCAGTTCTTCTCAATTGGATCTATATACCGAACTGGACGGTAGGGAAAAAAAATTATAATGTAAAAACTTGACGTTCATAAGCGGCTAAAATGTCCTACATGAATAATTATTTTTGAATTTTTATTTTTTTTTTTGATTTTGATTTTGAATCGTAGCGGGGGAGGGGTAAGCGTTGCTATTTTTAGGTAATTTCGCTGCGTCAAATAATTTCTAATTAGTATAAATTTGACTCACAGTAAGTATCACATCACATGACACGTTAAGTATATTTACGTATTCACGTAAAACGGCTACGGCCGTGTCCACGACACAGCCACAACCCGATTTTTTTATAGATAGATAAATTCTTTATTCAACATTTAATAAAAGAAATATAGGTGACACATAAAGTGCCGCAAAAGTGAAAAGTACCCGTGACTTCGTAAGTGTGGAATTTAACTTTATTTTTCTAACATAAAAGTAGTCTATATTATTCCGTATTACATCAGCTACCTGCCAATAAAAGTCCCGATAAAATCGATCCAGCCATTTCAGAGATTAGCCGGAACAAACAGACAGACAAAAATTGTAAAAATTGTAATTAGGGTGTATGTACTGTATTTATATTCATATATGTAGTAAAAAACGGTTATTTTAATATTACAAACAGACACTCCATCACCTTCTTGTATCTCTATCTATTAAAGTTGTGTAGTTTTAAAGATTTGAGCATACATAGGGACGGACAGACAGCGCCTTTGTTTTGTACTATGTAACTATGTAATATTATATTATCTGTGATGTAATGAAGAAAGTAGTACCTGTGGTAGTACGTAGTAAGTACATATGTAGTGTAGTGTAGTATAAATATAGCTCTAGTTGACTGACCTCCAAGCGGTTTCCCCTGGATACCATCGTGATAAATGTCTGAAGAATTTGTCACGATGATCCTACTGACCTGACCTCATGCTCATCATATCATCCTAGGCGGGTGTACTATTCCATTGTCATTCCAAGTAAATGGTAAAGTACGGATAGACGTTTGTTACTCTTTCACGCAAAAACTACTAAACAGATTTTAATAACACTTTACAGTAATATAGCTTATACATCAGAATAACAGATAAGATAAAAATTTTACACAATCAAAACCGCTGGCCTAACTAGTAAAGTGGCTTAAAGAAATGAGACTGCAACCACAAAGAATATGGTAAATAATTACAACAAATAAAATGTAATACAAAAATGTTTATTCAAGATATACACAATGGGAATTGCTTAATTCTATTACATATTTCAGAACTTTACAATTGTGAAACTAGTTCAAGTTTAGTTCTGACATGTAATATGTGTAACTAACTAGTCTTAAAGCTAACGATAATATCTATTTTCAATTCAGTCACATTATTAATTTTGATTCAAATATATTTACATTATATTGAGTATCATCACATACAACAATCCGTTCACCAATTGTTATTGTGACAAGGTACCAAAGTATTTACATAATATCACTAATTACAACTCTGGCATACCGCATACGCAACCTCATTACTCGTTTATATTGGGCTAAAAACTTACTTTATACATCATATAAAAATATATAAGGTCCTTATTAGAGAGACAATAATACGTAGAATATTCTTACAGAAAAAGGTAGTAAACTGAAAAATTTAAAACCATTTTCATGTAAAGTGATAATTTTAAGTTTATTGAATTTACTTTAAAAAAAAACTTGTATCTGATCTCCACTCCTAAGTGATACAAGTAAAAATCTTTAGAAATACACATGTATGTACAGACGTCGCTTGAAGTTTAGATTTTATACATAAGGACATAATAATACCTCCTTAGTCATAATAATGTACATATAACACACTTCATGAAATGTCACAAAGGAACATTATTATTAATAATAACTAGAATAAAAATGTTAGAAAGTAGACTTTTATAACATTATTATTGGTGCCACAAACATAATTACTCCCCTCCGATCGATCCCCGTTCAATTCAAACGGGGATCGAAATTACGATGGCCTGAGCCGAGGTTCGAACCCCTAGCGGTACCCTCAGACTTAAGTCATATCCTTCAGGCGGAAGTTGGTCTTTAGCCGCTCCATAAGTCCTTCCGCGGGTTTGGTATGCCATCTGCACTCACCCCCTATCGTCCGGTGAAGCTGTAAAGGCCAGCTGCGGCCAACAGCATTAAAAAAAACATAATTATAGTTTATAAAAATATCATATTACAATCGTATTAATTATAAATGGGTGCGTTGTCACATCTTAAATTTTAATTGTGGCAATTCTGTCATAGTCATATATATATATATATAATTCTTTTATTCACATGTTTATACATTACTTATATACGAGCTGAAGGGTCTTCCCGTGTAGTGTCCAATGACCCTGGCTTATCAAACAGATCACATGATGCTGTGACATCACAAAGGAGTCAAAATAATAACATTCACAGCTCTTATGTAATCATATGGTGACATTCATGCACGCGTCACACGTTTCAGGTAATAATACTTGTTACACATTGGTAAGAGAAATACTAGAGAGTGACCAGAGAGAGCAGTACTCAGACTTGTAGGTACATCTACCACCAATTTTTAAGTCACGATTACAATACTTGTCAAGACGTTAATTTTTATTAATTTTTAGGACTAGAAAGTGTTTTTGGTGGTCGGACTACTCCAGGTAGTCAAATAGAGTTCACTATCTAAATTATTAACCCGGTCTTAAAACGAATAATTTTATGGCAAATAAAGGTATTTACCTCTCTAGACGTTTGCAGTCATAAATAAATTCAATCAAAGATCAGTAGCATCAACAGTCGATAAGTTGAACAATCTAGTGACTATAGATGAAATAACTGCTGTCACCTATCTACATTGACATCGCTGTTGCTCCAGTCAGCTCGTGACCACGGCTAGTGCAACCTAGTCGAAACGTCGAGAGAGGTAAATACCTTTATTTGCCACAAAATTATTCTTGTTTAGACCCGGTTAATAATATAGATAATGTATATTAAACATGGAAGTTTACAAGAGTTGTACACATCACAACTGGACAGAGACGTAGCGACCGCATCAGTGTAATTGTGGTCGGTCAGTGCGGCGCGGGGGAGGCGGCCGCGAGGGCGGCGTAGTGCGCGTAGGTGGCGTACAGCTGGCGCAGCCACGGGTGGAGGGCGGCGGCGCGGCGGCGGGCTCAGGACGGGCGGGGGCGGTCGTCGTCGGCGGGCTCCCCGGCCTCGCTGCTGGAGGAGCTGCCCGCGCCCTGCGCCCACAGGCTCGCGTAGCTCTGCTGCTCCGCCACCAGCGCCTCCTCCGCCTCTATCACCGCGTTGAACAGCGTCTTCTTTATCTTGATCTGCGTCGGGAACGGAAACCTCTTCGTCGACTGGCACATGCTGTTGAAGAAGATGTCGAGCGGGTCCACGGTCACCGCCGGCGCCTCCCGCTTCCTCTCCTGGTACTGCGCCTCCGTGAACTGTCGCTTGCTCTGCGCCTTGCACAGGTAGTCGAGCTTTCGGTCGATGACCGTGAGCTGCTCGCAGTTCTTCCTCTTGGGCGAGGACTCCGCCTCGGACTCCGACTCGTCGCTGGAGTGCCCGTCCACGCCGTTCTGCGCGTGGCCGTTGTCGGGCGCGGGCGGCGCCTGGAACCCCGACGACTCCGCGGGCTTCTTGCGATTGCTCATGTACGGCTGCAGGAACTGCATCAGCCCCATATACTTCCAGGGGTAGTTCTTCTTCGTCGGATTACTGGGATCCTTGGCCAGCATCTCGCTCTGTCTCTTGAGCGCATCGCGGTAACTGTCGCGTAGTTTCTTCCATTTCAGTTTTACTTCTTTCACTGTAAAACGTAAATTAAATCATTATTAATTTCATTTTTATTTTATTTTTCGGAAAATCAAGGCTATTTACAAACATAGTTATAAACATAATTAAATGAGAACGGCCACTTATAGGTTCTCACGGATAGAAACGTAATATATATATTTTTTTATTTATTTATTCATTTATTTCAGGCAACTAGGCCCATATTATAAATACCTTATAGACTAACATACATGTAATATAATATTTAAAAACTAATACAATGATATTGTCTGTGTGATCACGGCACTGAAGACGGCAATCTGCCACGGTAGCGCCGATACACCACACCTTTCGGCCAGTAGTCCTCTTTCATGAAGGTGGGCAGTATAGAATAAATTACAGTACTAACACGAGAGGCGTGTTTGTGTCATAAATACTCATAAAATCATATAGTCACTCATATATTCACATCAATAAAATCACTCATAATATTCCCTGTTATATTACTATAATATCTTCAGACGTAGTAAGCGGAGGCGGGAAAGTAATGTATATTATTAAAAATACACACTACACAACAAAACAACATAAAAACTGATTTTTAAGTTTTCAGTTAAAGTCAGTTAATGAGTTAATGATCGTAAAATAACTGTTACAGCACGACAGTAACACTACTAGTGAAACTCGTTGACAAACTCGAATAAATCCCAAAAATTTCCTAAATTAAATTTACATTAAAAACAAATAACATATTTAATGAATATTCATTCATTAGATATGAAGCACAAAGCATGATGAAATCCTATCTAAATAATAGAATGCAAGTTGTCGAAATAAATGGTGTAAAGTCTGAGGGAACTAGTATTAAAATGGGTGTTCCTCAGGGCTCTATTTTAGGTCCTTTCTTATTTTTAGTTTACATAAATGATCTTCCTTATGTGGTAGAAAAGATAGCTGACATAGTTCTGTTTGCTGATGATACTTCATTAGTATTCAAAGTCAATCGACATATTGATGATTTGGACGAAGTAAACGGTGCTCTTTCTTATGTTTTAAAATGGTTTACGGCTAATAACATGTTACTAAATGCAAATAAAACTAAATGTATCAAATTTACTCTCCCCAATGTAAGGCCGGGAGATTCAAAAATCACGTTGGACAATAAACCTATTAATTTTGTGGATGATACTGTATTTCTAGGTATCACATTAGATTCCAAGTTGCAATGGGGCGCTCATATTACTAAATTAGCGAGTCGACTTAGTTCCGCCGCTTATGCGGTAAGAAGAATTAAGCAATTAACAGACGTGGCAACGGCTAAACTTGTGTACTTTAGCTATTTCCATAGCATTATGTCGTATGGTATTTTGTTATGGGGCAAAGCAGCTGATATAAATACAATATTTATTTTACAAAAGAGGGCCATTCGCTCCATTTATAGCATGGGTTCCAGGGAGTCTTTGCGAGAGTGCTTTAAGGAATCAAATATCCTCACCGTTGCTTCTCAATATATTTATGAAAATATCATGTATGCCAGGAAGAATATAGACAGTTTCAAAAGAGTTAGTGATTGCACTAATAAAAGCTTACGTAACAATAACAAACTGATTTTACCTAAATGTCGTTTGGCTAAAGTTAGTAATTCGTTTTATGGCAATTGCGTAAGGTTTTACAATAAAATACCAGAGTCTGTTATAAATCTGCCAGAAAAAAGATTTAAATGTCAAATAAAACACTTCCTTTGCAAAAAAGCTTACTATAAAATTGAAGAATTCGTTAACGATAATAATGTTTTTGTAGAAAAATTTTAAATACATAGCACTGACAATATTATCTGATTACACTAATAATGAGTGCGTAGCGATTTCTATGTTGATTGTCGCATGCCTCTTACTTGTTACACTGTAATTATTTATATAAAAAAAAACATCTATTAAAAAGAGCAACACACAAGTTTCTTGCTCATTCTTCTTGTGATGAATCTGCATTCCGAATGAGTGGTAGAATCAAAATATGACTATTCAAAAGTGCTTGTAATGAGTTTATTTGAATAAAGATTATTTCTATTTCTATTTCTATTTCATTATATACATTTTTTATGAATGTATGTGTGGATTAATACTTATATTATATTTATGATACATAATTATCAGTTTTTTTAAATTATTATATTTATTTAATCTGTAAAGTTCTGCATTCCGGAATTAGACGCATTACGATTGTGCTATGTAATAATGTAAGTAACTGTTTATTGTGTTAGGCTATGGGGCCCCATAAATTTGATGCGTTTGAAACCACGGGCACAGCTAGTAGTTTTTATTTTGATGATAATGGAATGGTGCACCCGCCTGCGCTAACGGTTTACGCTGGCAGGGCACCAGTGGAGGATGATAAGATGAGCATGAGGTCAGGTCAGTTAGCACATCGTGACAAATTCACCAGGAATTTATCACGATGGTTTCCAGGGGGAACCGCGTGGAGGTCAACCTGACATGGTACATTGCTAGTCATGAGTCCTCGTTACTAACAATCAACAGCTAGTAGTTGCATCATTTACACATTTAATGGCCTTTATAGTTACAATAATATTCTATATTTGATAGCTGGAGGCACTTTGTAATGAAGGGTGAGATATGACAAGGGTAGTCATCACGCGAGTAGCACCCCTACTGTTGCAGACGGCAGGCTGCAGGCGGCCACGCGGCGCGGCACACCTACCCACCGACCGGTGCTTGTTTGACATCATCCATATATGAAACGTACTCATATATACGATAGCCTCGGTGGTCTAGCTGGTTAGCCACCGTCTTACTTCCGATGGTCGCTGGTTCGATTCCTCGCACGGCACAAACATTTGTATTTATTATCGCTTGTATTAATCTGGGCGTTTTCTTTGTATAATATGTATGTATTTACGAAAATGAAATATCTATGTATTTGTATCAGTTATCTAGTACCCATAACACAAGCTTTAGCTAGCGTAACTTGGGTCTAGATGGCGCTGTGTGAATTATTATTATTGTTACTAGTTAGACAAAAGTTAATAGTTATTAGAATATTATGATACGTCAGTTACAATACAACCCTATAGGGAACTAGTTGAGGCCGCCGAAACTCCAAGAAGAAAATGGAATATGTTTTTTTTTAAAACCAGATAGAAATATAAAATATTCATTCATACCCGGCAGAGGACAAAATGAATGTAATCGTATATTTAATTAAACTAAGTGATAGAATAAAAAAATATGACTATTCAAAAGTACTTATTATTATTAAGTTAATTTGAATGAAGTTTATTTCTATTTCTGAATTAAAAGAAACAAGTTGCATATGCCACAGTGTGAAATGTGGGCATCGTAACTATAGTCCGACACAACATTATATTGTGAATGCGGTGCGTGGAGCGAGCTCCGCGGGCGGACGGGGTGCGGCGGGTGGTGAGGGGGAGGGGGGGGGGGGGAGGGGACAGGGGGCCAGCGGGGGGAGGGACGGACGCGAGACGTGTGTGAGGCGACGCGCGACGCGCAATGGCGGCCGGCGACTCGAACCTCAGCACCGCCGGCGACCGGCTCCAGGCTCCCGGCCAACGGCGACAGGCGACTGCTACTCACCAGACGAGAGGTCCGTCTCCTTCATGACCTCGGCCCAGGCGGCGTCCTTGAGCTCCTGGTCGCGGTACTCGATGGCGGTGGTGTTCCACAGGCACGGGTACTTGCGCACGGTCTCTATGAAGTGCTCCATGGCGCGCGGGCTCGGTGCGGGCGGTGTGGAGCGGCGGCGGGCTCGCGCGGCTGACTGAGCGCGGCCGCCGCCCGCGGGGCCCCCGCACCCGCACCGCTCGCCGCCCGCACACCGCACGCCGCCCGCACGCCGCCCGCACGCCGCACACCGGCCGCGCCGAGCCCGCGCTCCTCACCCGCCAACAATTACCCACTCGAGGAAATATTACGCCACGCTCCACCGGTACACAAGTATCGCGTACTTCGTTACAAATATCAGAGTACAAAGACAAATAAATACCTAATTAATTTGTTTATTAACATTACGGCATTACAACTGAACGGCTACACTACAACAAACAACTTAACTACTGATTACTCATATACTAAAGGAATCTAAATATATCTACATATAATAAAAACAAATCTAAACCCGTGCATTACACATACAAAGTAAAAGCTATTTAGTTCGTAAGTATATATTGTATACAAACACTGCAGTCGACACATGGTAGTCGTCTGTCTGTGACAAATGAAAGTCTATTGTCCTACATACCTACATCCTGTTTTTTATGTTTACCACTTCACGTAGTAGATATCGACTGCAAACTTACTTGACCCGAGTTGTCTAGCGGTGTAACACGTTGCATCTGAAGGTCGAGAGTTCGATGCTTCGCACGAGTAAAACATTCATTGTATTCTTTATTATGTTTTTTTGTGTATTATTTATTTACAAATAAAGTGTGTTTATGTATTTCTGTCAGTTAGTACCCATACTACAGTCTCCATTTAATTTTAGTATGTCTTATTCTGCATTGTTGTTAATAATCTAATTTAAAGTTAATGTTATTTTATTTTATATTATTGTAATGAATAAATTACATAATTATTAAGTTATAAATATATGTACATCATTTATTGAATCAAATTGGAAATAAAATTTATAAATACTTTAATATCTAGTCGTGTTAATTAATAAGTTAATTATTCTTGTTTTTAGAAATAGTGAATTAAAAATATTCTATTGTTTCTAACTGCACTACATATCAGTATTTTATGATGTTAATAGTTTATTAGCTAATATAGTGTAAAGTGAAACACTTTATCTCGTCGACATTTCAGCTGAATAATCACTATCCTAGCAACAACTTTATAAGACTCGCATCAATAATAATAAAAATAGAAATAATCTTTACCCAAATAAACTTAATATAAGCAGTTTTGAACAGTCACATTTTTTGGTTCTATCAATTATTTAGAACGCAGACCCATCAAAAGTATAACAAGAAAGAAACGTGCGTGTTGCTTTTTAAATAAATACACATTAACAAGGATTAGGCATGCCAGTCAACAGAAACTGCTACGCACTCCGCACTTCGCAATCGAGTCAGTTCTATTATCTAATTCCCTAGGACATGGTGTTTTTCCCATTAGTTTTATTAATACTGCGAGCTGTGTACACGTAGCATTAATTTCTTGAATCGAAGAGGTCTACAAAAAGCACCCAACTATAGAGTTCCACGGCACTTCCTCCGGGAGGAAGTTTCATTTCCGACCCGGCCGGAGGTCGCTTTATGTTATATTTTTTCTATAGACAAAAAATAGAGGACCTCTGTAGGCATTTTTGGTAGAAACCGGTGTACTGATGAGCTGACACTCAGCGCTGTTTGTATGAGACAAAAAGAAATAAGATAAGTATTTTGATTGATAACAGGCCAACAGGCCCAGTTCATAACGTAGGAGTGGTCTAACTATTTAAAGCACTGACTTGGAGCATCAATAGGTCTCCGGTAAACATGTGCCGTGACAACCTCTCACGAACTGGTGACAGGGTTTTTTAGGGAAGACTAGACCAGACAAGTTAATTAGAGAATTTTCCTACAAATAAAAGTAGCCAAGTTACTCCTAATTACATCAGGTACCTGCCAATAAAGTTCCCGTCAAAATCGGTTCTGCTACTTCAAACATTAGCCGAAACAAACAGACAGACAGACAAAAATTGCACCCGCCTGTTATAATGGTTTACGTTGGCGGGGCACCAGTGGAGGATGATAAGATGAACATTAGATCAGGTCAGTTAGCCCATCGTGACATATTCACCAATAATTTATCACAATGGTTTCCAGGGCGAACCGCGTGGAGGTCAACCTGACATGCTAGTAAGATCATCAATCCACATTACTAATAGTCCCCTTTCCCCCTCCTGTTTGGTTTATATAGGTACATAAATACATACATTCAGACGCATGACAATAAACAAACATAGTAATGTAGGTCCGCACTTTGCTTTGTCAGAACTGCGCTAAATGTAATAGGAGACATGCATACGTTTCGCTGAGTATATTTGAATCACAGATAACATAATAAATTGAATGTAAAGTAGCAGGTAACAACCCTACCACAGTCTCTCTGACTACATTCCCTGAAACGGATTACTATACGAAGATTTGTATCGAAGAATCGAGAAGTAGTTCATCTGCTAAAGGAGGCACATTTTTTTTTATTCATATTTGATCAAGTCTGTTCATTTTTTATTGTAAGTCTGCTGAAATTCAGTTTAGCAGAAGTGTTTCTAATTTATTTTGGCGGGTTTTCGATGTTTCCGTCACCGGAGAGTCGTTTAGAAATATATACATAATACACATATTTTTATGTGTTATTCAGATTCGAACTGTCTGTTGAAGTCACGTAGTTAATGACCAGGGGTCCAGGACACAACGCTCTCTCATGTTATAGTTGTCTACGTATCCTCTCGTATATACAGATGTAAGGGATTGTTGGCGTTATAGGAGTGTAAGTGGCTACAATAGGTATGTAAGTACGGTAGACTCATGTTCGAGGCACCCCTTGGCAACAGTCAAAATCAGCTGGAGCCTGCAGCCACGGCCACGGCCGCGGCGCGCGCACCGCACCCCTCACACCGCAACCCGCACCCGGCGCGGCGCCACGCTCAGCTGGTCCTCACCCTTGCACACCGGTACAGCCGTCCCGTTCACTCTACAACCCTTTATCACCTATCGCATTCACATCCTTTATGCTTTTGTTGTACTTACGATTCTGTAATTAATTTAGGTCGTTTCTAAATAAACTTCTACACAGGTAGGTACACGGAATTGCGAAATATTTGCAATCGGATACCGTCGAATGTTAATTTGAAGACTTCAAGGGAAGTAAACACCGGCGGCCGGCGGTGCGCACAGCTGTTCCCGATCGATGCACTTCGCACAGCGCCGGCCCCCGCCCCCGCGGCCCCGGCCCGCGCCCCGCAATGGCCCGCACCCTGCACCCTGCAGCCTGCACCCTGCGCCCACCCTTCAACTCACTACAAGCGCCGAGACGCCGCTGCGCTTTCATCCCGATATATATTCAATAGGGAACATGCATAAATTTTAATTTTAACATTCGATAATTTATCTAAATACTTATATATAACTTAAAAATATATATACAACATCGAAAAAGTGTTTAAAGTGTTCCTTAAATGAATAATTTCACAGTCCGCCAAATTGCACTTGATGTAATGTATCCTTTATATAAAATCAAATGATATGCAGAGGTTATAACTCAGATGGAAGGAATATAGTGCTTAGCTGCAATTTTACAATTGTTTCTATTTTCAACTAATATACTTTCTATTGGAAATCCCATTTCATTGCTTTTTTTACTGTTTCATAAAGGTTTATGAAACAATAAAAAAAGCAATGGAATTTTTTTTTAACTTTACAAGATATAAATTTAAAAATGTAGAAGATTAAATATACGTAATTACTCCTTTTATCTCAACAGCCTTGAAATTATTATTTGATATAAAAAATGCGGTTATGATATCAACTCCAATTTAATTGACAATTAATCTGATTGTGTTCACTAAACCCTTGTCGGTCATTTTCTAATGCTCTTACGTTATCTTTACATAATATAAATAAAGTTCCTTCCGCTATCTGTTCGTTTAGAACTACACAACAGATTTAAATGAAGTTTTTAACAAAAGATAGTGATTCAAGAGAAATGTATAGTTCATATACACCCCTGCGAAGCCGGCGCGGGTACCTTGTTTATTATAAATCTAAATGTAATTTTAATTAATTACACCCCATACGTACTCTGTTTCATTCAACTGAGATAACTAAAAAAATTTAGGTTTTCAGGAAACAAACGAGTACATTTACATTTTTAATTAGAGAATATATGAAACGCAATTTTATTATAATAGATTACAAATAGGTTATGAAATATATAAGCTGGAGAGAAAAATCAATATCTACGAGTGAATTGAAAATAGAAACCTATATCTAAACTGAGATAACTCAAAAAATCACAATTTCTGATAGATTTATTACGTTTGGCCATTATGTTATCTGTGGTTTGGCTAAGTATCCTGACCTCATGCTCGTCTTGTATCCTCCACTGGCGCCTCGCCAGCGAAACTATCAGCGCAGGAAAATATCCTTGAAAGATTTAATAATTTGTATCTTTCTATCACAAAATCTAATTTCTATGAGAAATATAATTTTTTCATGAGCAAACGCAATTAAAATTTCATAAGCAAGCATAAAGATTTGTGTTTTTTTACAGGCAAATAGCCTGTAAAAAAAAACAAATATGTATACAATTTGGTAGAGCCTCGACCAGATTATAGATAAAATAAGATACTTGTTTAGTGCCATCTGTACGAAGAATACTGAACTAGCTTATTATTGTTTAGGATCCCCGCAAGCACACGTTTATAAACTGTCACAACATACACGTAGATGGCACTATAACGAGTAAATTTGAAGTCTGACATTAGTCTAACTCAATATCCTCCATCTGTCATACAGTCATCTAAAGTTCTACGAACACCCTTGTTTTTTGTAAATATTAATATTAAGATATAGTAATAATTTATAGGAAAAATCTTCTTTAAGATATCTTGATTATTTCATATCCAAGAAAAGTGAATGACTGTAATGTGTGTGTGTTATTGTGAAGTATAGATAATAAGTTTATGTGAAGCGATCTGCTGATGTCTACGGACGCTCTGTGTCAAGAAGAAGACTGGTGAGGAGTGCTGGTGGATTCTGTCTGTAAGCTGGTG